CTTTCTATACGATAGGAATGTGAGATATTTCGATAATAAAAAAACCACGCGGAATTAAATTGTATAATAATGATATCAATTACTACAAATAACAAACACGGGATTCACTCTCATAACTGATTCATCTAATCAATTGAATTGTTATCTGTACTACGTTGTATGTACACACACATAAACATTGAAACTGTATTAAAATGAAAACATCTAGTCATAATTTATTGTAATTTTTATTTTACACAATTACCGGAATTGATATTCAAATTTTTAATTTGATTTCCAATTAAAATAAAATTCCATTAAAACTTCATTTTGAAATCTTGATTTTTATTAATGAAAATCGTTTAATTAAATAAGTCTTTTTCGAAACAACAAAGAACTATTGAAATTTGATTGCGAGTTCGAGTTCAAGTTCAAGTTTCTTACGTGAATGAATTAATGAATTTGCCAACTTTTGCAAAGTTCATAATATACCATTTGGGCTCAGTGCCAAAAATGTGTTGCTTCAGAATCTTCATTTACAACATATATGACTATATATGCACTGGAATAGTGTGTGTGCCATTTAATGGAAAAGCACTTTCACGAAACCTCTCATTGATTAAAGAGACAGTAACGGAGATGAACATGGCTTCATGGAAAACTATTTTTGACCTTGAAAAATTTACTTCAAAAAAAAAAAATAAAATAAAATCTCACACATAAAATATAAATTTAAATATAAATTTTTTAAATCTTATTTATAAAATCACAAAAAAGAAAATATTTGTTCTTCATTTATTTTTATATATAGGAAAAGTGTTTGGAATCAAAATGTTTCTCTCACTTGAATCTTTAATAGAATTATGGGACTATTCAGGACAAGGTTGTTTAAAAAACCTAGAGGTCAATTTATAACTGAAAATAATCATTAAACTTGAATTTTAAGATTTCAACCTTTAAATAATGTTACATGTTCAATGAAACATGTAAATTGTGATAAATGTGCAAAAAAAAATCCTTCCAACTTTATGACATAATAACGCACAAGAAAACGAAGAATGTCTTTGGTACTAGAAAAAAGTGTATAAATGCGTGTTTTAATGAATGGTATTGAAGAAACGATAATTTATGTAATTTACAAGTATCCTAAAGACTAAAGAGAGAACCTATTTCAGTAGAAAACTTTTAATTTTCAAATTATAGGTGCGCCTATATATATATACAATTTGCAGTCGAAGGTAGATTTATTATGAAAAAACAAATTTGTAAAAATAATTATCTCAGCTTACATTTTATGTAACTAGCATTCATCTTATTTAAAACAAATGAATTATGTTATTTCATTGTTGTTTTTTTTTTTTTTTTGCTTTTATTGTATTATTTTTTTTAATTTAAAAAATATATTGAAATAACAGAGAATAGAGATTTAGAGGAACGAAAAACATTAGATTAATTAATTGAACAACAACTCTCGTAAAAGTTATCTTAATAAAAGTCCCGGGAGGATGAAATATACATGTTGTACAGTGGGGATGTTATACGACATATAACAAGAGGGGTTTGTTTTTGCAGCCTTTAGGGCAGAAGATAGTCTTAATGGACACACCCTACCTCTTAAGTATTAGAGAAAGAGAAATTATGTCTTTATTTTCTTTTACTGCAAAGTACACTTCTATAATAGTTGGAAAGATATGAGTCAATAGAAATCTATTAACTGTCTCTTTATTAAAATATTTAAAAATTAAAAATTTCAATAATTATTAATTACAGATTTAGACTTTTGGGTTTAGAACAATATACATATACATTAAATTGCAAATTTTAAATTTAATGTGTACGCATATTCAGGGTTGCCGCACAAAAATTAAATTTTCTTTTCCCTGATTTTCAGACAAAATTTAGACTTTTTCCCTAACACTGAAGAATATTCTGATTCACTCCAAAAATTATTAGATACTCAAAAAAAATGTTCTATTACATTTATTTACAAATTTCTTTAAAAGTAACATTATTCGAAAACATCAATAACTTCTTTTTTAAATAAATATTCAATCATTATTATTTTTCCATATAGGAATTAAGATTTTCAAATTCAAACCTTCAGAAAAAAAATTTATGATAAATTTAATATAACAGAGTTATAAAAACATTATTTTACATCATAAGAATATTGTAACTATAAATTCAAATTTTCAAAGATTTTAATTTGAACCCTTTTCAAAATTCAATTATTTCTAAAAATTTAAGCAATAATGCTTTTAATATTCAACTATCTAAAATTTTAACCAAAATTCGTTTTTAAATCAATTTTTATTAGAAAATTCAACGACGTGAATTCAATTATTTAAATACAAAAATAAATAATTTATTAAATAATTGAATATTTCTTAAAATTGAATTTTTATGAAGAATTTTATCAAAATTTTTAAAAATAATTCAATTCTTTCGAGGAATTTAAAAAAAAATTAAAGAATAAATGCAATTTTCTATAATTTTCTTTTTAAAATTGTATAAAAAATAATTGAAATTCTACGATAAGTTTTGTTATTTATGGAAATAATTGAATTCTTGCAACAAATTTTATTAAAAAAATTATTATTATTTATGAAAATAATTATTTTCTTGTGAAGAATTTAATTCAAATTTTTTTAAATAATTGAATTTCTCAGAATTTTTTAAAATTTTACGAAAATAATTGTATATTGATCAATTTTATTATAATTTTTCAAATTTGTAAAGCATTCTATCAAAATTGTTGCGAAACAATTGAATTTCTCAGAATTTTTTAAACTTTTTGAAAATAATTAAATTCTATCGAGAAATTTCATTAAAAAATTGAAAATAATTGAAATCTGACGAAGAATTTTATTAAATTTATTTTAAATAATCGAATTCCTATGAAAATGTTTATTTTTGAAAAAAAATTAAATTCTTGTGAAGAATTTTGTTAAAATTTCTTAAATAATTGAATTGCTTCGAAGAATTTTATTTTTAACGAAAATAATTGAATTGTTTCAAAGATTTTTATAAACATTTTTGAAAATAATAATTGTATTCCTATTAGAAAGAATGTTATATTTTACGAAAATAATTGTATTGATCAATTTTATTATAATTCTTCAAATTTATGAAGAATTTTATCGAAATTTTTAAAAATAATTCAATTCTCGACAAAAATTTTATTCTTTATGAAAATAATTTATTTTTCGACAAGAATTTTATTAAATAAATCTTGTAAAGAATTTTGACAACATTTTTTTAAATAATAGAATTTTTTAAAGAATTTTATTTACATTTTTCGAAATAATTGAATTTTCCAGAATTTTTTAAAACTTTTTGAAAATAAATAAATTACATCGAGAAATTTTATTGAAAAATTGAAAATAATTGAAATCTGAAGAAGAATTTTATTAAATTTTTTTAAAATAATTAAATTCCTGCGGAAATGTTTATTTATGAAAAAAGAAAAATTCTTGTGAAGAATTTTATTTTTAACGAAAATAATTGAATTGTTTCAAAGATTTTTATAAAAATTTTTGACAATAATTTCAATTGCATTCCTAGGAAGAATGTTTTATTTTACGAAAATAATTTTATTAATCAATTTTATTATAATTTTTCAAATTTATAAAATTTATTAAAATTTTTTAAATTAATTGAATTCTTGAGAAAAATTTTATTATTTATGAAAATAATTGATTTCTTCAGAAGAATTTTATTAACTAAATCTTGTAAAGAATTTTGTCACCATTTTTTAAATAATAGAATTTTTAAAAGAATTTTTTTAAATTTTCCTAAAGAATTGAATTTTTAAGAATTATTTTTTTCAATTTTCCGAATATATTTCAATTATTTCGAAAAACTTTATTAAAAAATTAAAAATAATTGAATTGGTGCGAAGAATTTTATAAAAAATTGGTAAGTAATTGAATTCCTGTGAGATTTTTATTAAAATTTTGTTTAAAAAATTGAATTCTTTAGGAAAATTTTATTAAAATCGCAGATATTAAAATTAATTGAAATGAGGGAAATTTTTGAAAATAATTGAAATTTTGCTATAAGAATTTTATTAAACTTTTTGAAAATAACTGAATTTCGGAGAAGAATTTAATTATTTCTAAAGATAATTTAAATTTTTACGAGAATCTTTAAAAATTTTTGAACATAAATGAATTTATGCGAAGAAGTTTATCACTTTTGAAAATAATTGGATTTCTGTAATCAGTTGTTCTTAAAATTTCTATTTAAATTCATTAAAAATTGATATTTACTAAAATTTCAAATTGAAACCTGTCAAGTTCATCTATTTATGAAGATTGTAAACGCAACTCTTTTGAAATCCAATTAATTTCGAAATTTTTAAGTAAAATTATTCATTAACTATTTTCTAAGTAATAATTTTATGGTAGTTCTTGAAGAATGAAGTTATTTAAAAGGAAATTATTGTCAGAAATAGAAAAAATTGAAGGTTTTGTATTAGAATTCGTGGCATTTTCATAGTTTATGAGGTAAACAAAAAAGACTCAAAAATTCAGAATTTTCTTATAAATTTCTAAAAATTAAATTTTTTTCAATACTTTTAATAAAAATCCCTGACTTTCCCCTGATTTCCCTGACCAATTCTAATTTCCCTGACTTCCCTGACCTGAGACAACCCTGATATTATTACCACAAACATTTTGAGAAAACAATAAAATTATTGAAAACTTTGGTCAAACGATCAATTTTAAATAAGTACAAATAACTGACTTTTTGGTACAAGTTCAGTATCACCATCAGAGTGTTTTTAGAAAAGTAAATTTTGTTTAACAATTTTGAAAAATTTAAGAGTCAAAAAACGTGGCTAGTAACAAACTCACGAAAGATCTGAGAAGAATATTAATTTGTTACAATGCAAATAAAAGTAAAGACACAAAAATCTGTTACAAAACACAACAAATATTAAAACTTCCTCAGAGAGATTAAAATTTGTCAAGTAAAATTCAACTACTTTTTAAAATAATGAATTAATGTCCTTTTAGAATTGGAGGAATGGATGGGCGATTCCTGAACAAAGTTGGCGGAGACATTGAAGCTAATGACTATCACGGTAAAAGGAACACCATGACATTAAATGTTAATGGATTATGGGACGTAGTCCCTCGATTGGATCACTATAGGTAAATATAATAAAAATACAAAAAGCATTTTAAGCCGTTTTAATACACGACGAAAAATATAGAGTAACTTTTACTATATTTACTTCAGTAAAACCAGAACTGTCTGGAACTTGTGCGCATTTTTGTTATTGCAACTTTTACTACATTCAAAGTAAATGCTATGCTCGAACCAACTTTTACAAAAACATACTTCGATCGTAGCAACTTTTACTCCAAAAATAGTCAAAAGTTGCCAAAAATCGTCAAAAATAGGCACAAGTAGTAAACTTTACTATAGTCAATGTAAGTTTTACTTCGAAAGTACAGTAAAAGTTACTTTATTCATTTTCTCCACCGATGTTTGAATTCTGTTGCAGATTAAGTAGACGAGCAAAAAGGCCATCTTTAGGTGAACTACACGATGGAAACCCCACGAAGGTAGAGCTTTTTATATTTTCAAATGGCTTATTGCGATATACCCATCAGTTTAAAAAGTTATTCTAGGATTAGTTACGCTTATGACGTTGCTATTTTCAAAGGACACTGCTTCAATTGACAAATTGAACGACTATGACCTTGATAACTATTAAATGAAGGAAAAATCAAAGTCTCTTGAATGCATTTTATATATCCACAAGTCGAAATATGTGTATGTGTTTTCCTTTGGCTCACGCAACAAATAATGTGCTATTGGTCTACGATTCTTGTTCCAGATACCATTCCATTAAATTAAAAACTCTTCAAATCAATGTTAATTCATTTGAGGTCTAGGGTAGATCAAGTCAAAAACAATTATATCGTTCAGTTTTACTTTCAATGAGAGAATGAACCATTTCTCTTCAATATAATCGGAGATATTCAAGCGCATGTTTTTTTCTTCAATTTAAAACATTGTCGCACAATTTTTCTATAAGGATATCAAATAGACAAAAAAAAGGCATCAAAATTGTTATGTTTTTTGACTTAATTTTATATTCTTAGAAAAAGTGTGTTAAATTAAAAATATATCTGCTAATTATATCTGCTGTTATTGACAAAAATATTATCGTTTACAAGCAGTAAATATGAAAAGCAAAGATGAAGAAGGAAGTTCTTTTATAGATATATAGATATTTTTGTTTCTTATAAATTGGTGTACCTATATCAGACTTCGCACTCGATAATTAATTTTTAAAAAAGTAGCAAAAAGTAGCCTTCAAACTAAAAAAATGTAGGAAAAAAGTAGATATCGAAAAATTACACTTGACACCCAAAAAAGCTCGTTTTGGACACTTCACAAAACTGACAAAAATTCCATTTTATATTTTTTCTTTCCTAACTTTTTCCTAATTTTCATCAAAAATAATTACTTTTTTCTTATCCTGCTAATAAATTCAATTCCTGCAACGAATTTAAATATTCATGAAAGAATTTAAATATTTATCAAAATAATTTAATTCTTGGGCAGAAATTTATAAAAAATTTTAAATAATCGATCTCTTTCGACTAATTTTATGCAAATTCTAATCTGAATTATTTAATTCCTGAGAAATTTTTCTTATAAATAAAATTGAATTTTTTTTTTTTACAAAAAATTTTTTAAATAATTGAATTCTGTTTGGAAATATATGAAAATAGTAGATATTGAAAATCATTGATGTGCAAAAAGTTTTTAAAAATAATTAAATTTTACAAAGAATTCTATTAAAATTTTTCACAATAATTGCATGTCTGTGGTAAATATTATTAAATTTTCTTAAAAATAATTGAAATCCAAAAAAATATTTTATTATTCATGAAAATAATTGAATTCTTGCGAACGATTTTATTAGAATCTTTTTAATATAATAATTGAATTTCCAAGAAGAAATTTATTACTTTTGAAAATAATTGAATTCTTCTGATAAATATTGATATTTATGAAAATAATTGAATTTGGCAAAGAATTTTATTAAAATGCCTCAAAATAATTGAATTTTCAGGAATAATTTTGTTATTAATCGACATAATTGAATTCATTCGAAGAATTATTTATATGTAAATAATTGAATTCTTAGGAAGAATTTTATTAAAATCTAAAAGAATAATTGAATTGTTTCAAAAAAATTTAATTAAAATTGTATTTCAAATAATTGATTTTTTTCAAACAATTTTATTGAAATATTTTTAAATAATTGAAATCCTGTGAAAAATTTTAATATTTGCTAAGAATTTTTAAAAATAATTGAATTCCTGAGAAGAATTTTATTTTTTATGAAATAATAGAATTCATGGGAAGAATTTTATAAAAATATTTAAAAATAATTGAAATCCTGTGAAAAATTTTTATATTTCTGTAAATAATTATTGAATTCTTTCAAAAAATTTAAAAAAAAAAACATTTTTTAAAAATATTTGATTTTTTCGAGGAACTGAAATTAAATTTTTAAGAATAATTACATTTTTTGAGCAATTTCTGTGAAATTGTATAAAAAATAATTGAAATCATGCGATGAATTTTATTATCCATGAAAATAATTGAATAGTTGCTAAGAATTGTCAAAAAACAATTGAATTCCTGAGAAGAATTTTATTATTTATGAAAATAATTGAATTATTGTTTAGAATTATATCAACAATTTTTTTAAATAATTGTATTTCCATGAAAAATATTATTATTAGTGAAAGTATTTAAATTAATGAAGAATTGTGAAGAATTGTATAAATAATTGATTTTTTTCTAATTTTCTTTTTTTAAACGCTATTTTGAATTAATTGAATTCTTATGAAATTTTATTATTTATGAAAATGTAATTGAATTTTTGAGAAGAATTTTATTATTTATGAAAATAATTGAATTATTGCGAAAAAATTTATTAAAATGGTGTAAAAAGAATTGAATTTCTGTGAAAAATTTTGTTATTTTGAAAATAATTGAATTCTTCATAAGAATTTTATAAACATTGTTTTAAATAATTAATTTTTTTGAAATATAATAAATATTATGAAAATTTTATTTTAAATAATTGACTTCTTGTGGAAAACTTTATTTGTGAAAATAATTGAATTTTTCGATTAATTAATTTAAAATTGGATTAAAAATATTTGAAATTCTGCGCTATGAGTTTTATTATTTTTGAAAATAATTGAATTTTGGATGAATGTTATCAATTTTTTCTTTAAATAATTGAATTCTTTTGCGAACATTTATAAAAATACTAAATATTGAAAATAATTGAATTTCGAATATTTTTTAAAATAATTGAATCGTCTTAAAGAATTTGATTATAATTTTTGAGAATAATTTTTTTTATTTCTAGTATTATCGAATAAAGTAGTGGAAATTCTAAAAAAAAAAATAAACAGAAATATTAGCTTTTAGTGGTTGAAATCTAAAAAAATTTCCAAATAGTAGCATAACGTAAAAAAGTAGTAAAAAGTAGGTTTTAGTAGATGAGTGCGAAGCTTGCTATATTTAAATACGGTAATTTAAAAGATGTATAAATTGCAAAAAAGGAAAAAACTTAAAAGGAAAAATAATATGAATGATTTATCTAAAGGAGAATATTTCTTTCCAGAACACAAACGTCGAGACGGGGCAGACTGGGGTTGGACCTCCCGTTCACAATGGAATAAAATTAGGATGGATTCAGGGAGTTTTGATACCATGTCTTTTGAATATATGGGGTGTTATGTTATTTTTGCGATTGTCCTGGGTGGTTGCGCAAGCGGGAATTTATCAAAGTATCATCATAATCGGGATATCAGCTGTTGTATGCGTCATCACGACTCTAAGCTTGAGTGCAATTAGCACTAATGGAGAAGTAAAGGGAGGTGTGTTGAAGTTACCTTTTCCGAAGGAGTGGCCCTGCCACTATAAATAAAGTATTTCCCGTAAAGATAAATTTTATATTCAAATTAATACACTCCAACATTTTTATAAATTAATATCAATAATAATAACAACTCTTTTTCACTTATTAAAATCAAATTTCTTTATAATAAAACAAAACTTGTATTTTACTAATATAAACATTTCTCATTCTTTCAGGTGGTATTTATTTCATTATATCCAGATCATTGGGACCAGAATTTGGAGCCTCGGTAGGAATAGTCTTTGCCTTTGCCAATGCGGTGGCAGCATCAATGAACACAATAGGATTTTGCGACTCATTGAATCAATTACTTAAAGAAAATGGACTTAAAATTATTGACAATGCTGCTTATGATGTCAGAATTATTGGCACAATTGCTCTTTTGGTGATGATCTTAATTTGCGCAATCGGTATGGAATGGGAGTCGAAGGTAAACTTGTAAAAATATTTTAATCTTACGATAATCTCACAGTAAAACGTGAGGTGTTAAAATAACACCAGAATGGATTGAAATAATCTGCAACAGTTTAATCTCTCTAGGATTAAATTAACACCAGAAAGGATTAAAATAATCTATTTTGGTGTTATTTTTAACTATGAATCAAATTTTACTTTAAATAAAACACCAAAGTCAACGATTTGTAAAAATTCAACGAATTTAGCTTCTCCAGGGAGAATAGTAAGCTACTAACTTACTAACTAACTTAGTAACATAGTTACTAAATTCAATTGTGTTCAAAAATTTAAAAAAATTCTCGTCAAAATTTCAATTCTCTTTATAAATAATAAGATTCTTCTCCGATATTCAATTATTTTACAAAATTTTAATCAAATTCTTGTCAAAATTTCAATTATTTTCAAAAGTTTTCTAAAATTCAATAATTTTCAATATCTACTATTTCAATAAAACTTTCCAAAAGAATTCCATTATTAGAAAAAATTTCAATAAAATTCTACGCAAACATTCAATTATTTTCATAAATAATAACATTTTTTACAGGAATTCAATTATTTACAAATTTTTTTTATAAATTTCTTCGCAATAATTCAATTATTTTCATAAATAATAACATTTTTACAAGGATTCAATTATTTTTATAAATAATAACATTTTTACAAGGATTCAATTATTTTTATAAATGAGAAAATTCTTTTAGAAATTCAATTATTTTCAAAAATAATAAAACTCATTGCATAATTTCAATTATTTTTAATGCAATTTTAATCGAATTCCTCGAAAAATTTAATTATTCTTAAAAATTTTATTAAAATTCACCCAAAGAATTTAATGATTTAAAAAATTTGTTGATAACATTTTTTACGAAAATTTAATTTTAAGAAACATGAAATTAATATATTATTTATTTGTGTATTTAAATAATTGAATTCTCGTAGAATTTACTAATAAAAAATGGTTTTAAAAATGAATTGCAGTGAAAATTTAAGATTATAATTAAATATTAAATTATAACGTGGATTTTTAGAAATAATTAAATTTTGAAAAAGTTTCAAATTAAAATCATTGAAATTCTTAATTTTTCATATTTTTCACAAACAATTCTGTAGAATTAATTCTTTTTACAAATTTAATAGGATTTTTATTGAAATTACTTCAAGTTTTTATTTTTCAATATATGTTTAATTGCAGAATTTCCGAATAATTGAAATTTTGTAAAATTGAAATGTAAACGAATGAATTTGAAAATTCTCAAAGAACCTTTTTTAAAAATTATTAAAAATAATGGATTTATTGAAGAATTATAGTTAAAAACACTAGAAAAAAAATTGAATTTTAGAGAAGTTACAAATTATTGCAAAAATTCAATTATTTTCAAGAATAATAAAATTCATCTCAAAAAATCAATTATTTTCATAAATAATAAAATTTTTCTCGAGAATTCAATTATTTTAAAAAATTTCTGACAAAATGCTTTATAAATTTGAAAAATTATAATAAAATTGGTCAATACAATTATTTTCGTGAAATATAACATTCTTCCTAGGAATACAATTATTATTATCCAAAATGTTTATAAAAATCTTCAAGATAATTCAATTATTTTCGAATAAAATAAAATTCTTCAAAGCCATTCAATTATTTAAGAAATTTTAATAAAATTCTCAAAAAAAAATTTAATTTTTTTCCAATAATAAACATTTCTACAAGAATTTAATTATTAAAAAAAAATTTAATAAAATTCTTCGTCAGATTTCAATTATTTTCAATTTTTTAATGAAATTTAATTATTTTCAAAAAGTTTTAAAAAATTCTGAGAAATTTAATTATTTCGAAAATTTTAAATAAGATTCTTCACAAGAAAATAATTATTTTCATAAATAATAATATTTCTCTCCGGAATTCAATTATTTTAAAAAATTTTGATAAAATTCTTCATAAAAATTCAATTTTTTAATAAATTATTTATTTTTGTATTTAAATAATTGAATTCTCGTATAATTTTCTAATAAAAATTGAATTAAAAACGAATTTTAGTTAAAATTTTAGATAGTTGAATATTAAAAGCATTATTGCGTGGATTTTTAGAAATAATTAAATTTTGAAAAAGTTTCAAATTAAAATAATTGAAATTCTAATATTTTCATATTTTTGACAAACAATTCTGTAGAATTAATTCCTTTTAAAAGTTTAAATAGGATTTTTATTGAAATTATTTCAAGTTTTTATTTTTCAATATAATATTTAATTGCAGAATTTCCGAATAATTGAAATTTTGTAAAATTGAATTGTAAACGAATGAATTTCAAAATTCTCAAAGAACTTTTTTAAAAATTATTAAAAATAATAGATTTATTGAAGAATTTTAGTTAAAAACGTTAGAAAGAAATTTAATTTTAGAGATGTTACAAATTATTGCAGAAATTCAATTATTTTCAAGAGTAATAAAATTCTTCTTAATGATTCAATTATTTTTACTTATAATAAAACTCATCGCAGCGTTTCAATTATTTTTCATACAATTATAATTGAATTCCTTGAAAAAAGTGATTATGTTCATGCAAGTTTTAATAAAATTCGACAAAAGAATTCAATTATTTAAAAATTTGTGAATAAAATTCTCTATGAGAATTAAATTTTGAGAAACATTGAATTATTCAATAAATTATTTACTTTTGCATTTAAATAATTAAATTCTTGTAGAATTTTATAATAAAAATTGATTTTCATTTCATAAAAATGAATTTCAGTTAAAATTTTAGATTATAATTGAATATTAAAAGCAATAAAGCGTGGATTTTTAGAAATAATTGAATTTTGAAATTAATTTTTTCGAAAAAGTTTAATTGAATTTTCTCTTATATTATTTGAAGTTTTTATTTTCTAATATGCATTTAATTAAAGAATTTAGGAATAATTGAAATTTCGTGAAATTGAATATTGTAAACAAATGAATTTGAAAATTGCCAAAGAACTTTTTCGAAAATTATTAAAAATAATAGATATAAAGTAAAATTGTAGTTAAGAATTTTTGAAAATAATAATTGAATTGGAGTAATGAAAATAATTTTGAAGAAGTATAATATTCTTATAATATAAAATAATGATTTTATTACTTGGTCATCTTTAATTATTATAAAATATGTAGAAATTGATTACTCCAAGTCGAAGACTCGGAGTTATCGATATCTTCATGTTTTACAGTTATAAAAAAATTGAATGAACTAAAATTTCATTCATTGTAAAAAATAACATATTGATTATTTTAATCTTTTTTGGTGTTAATTTAATCTGCAACACTTTTTAATACCTCACGATTTACTGTGAGCTCTTGAGAATCATATAAAAATAAAATAATTAAAGAACCCTTATTTAATCAGGCGCAGAATTTTCTTATCGCCATCATTACAGCGGCAATTTTCGACTTTCTCATTGGGTCTTTAATTGGTCCATCAACATTGCAACAAAAATCTCAAGGATTTGCAGGATTTTCAAGTTAGTAAAAAGTATTATTATTATTATTATTATTCAATCTATTGAAATGTATTATTTTTGGAATAGGAAATATTCTATCATACTGGGAGAAGAAAAATATTTGAGAGGAAAATAAGACTTTTTTTTGCCAAGTCATAAAAACTATTAGCAATGTTTCCCCTCTTTTTCGTATTTATAATTTACTTTTCTTCGATAAACAAACAAAAGCAATTCCTCTCTTGAGCCTGCGATTGGAACTCCCACCCTGAGTATATATATATTTGATCTATAAATATATATGAACCATACGTATATATTCATTTTCCAAGATTTCGCCTCAGATATTTCGCACAATCTCGTGAATTACACATGTTCTTTTTATGATAATTTTGTCAAGATCATTATGTCAATGAATGAAGCTTAATGAAATGTTGTTATTTTCAAATTGAATAGGTAAAACTTTTATGGATAATTGGGGACCGGATTATCGATACTCTGAGAACGTGAATCAGACTTTCTTCTCTATTTTTTCCATTTTCTTTCCGTCAGTCACTGGGATTCAAGCAGGTGCTAATATTTCCGGGGATCTGAAAGATCCGGCGAGCAGCATCCCAACTGGCACACTCCTAGCCCTATTAATATCAATGATTAGTTATGTGACATTCGTTCTTTTCGCCGGAGGGGCTGCTTCGAGAGTTGCCAGTGGTATTGTTGCAAACAATACGATAGTGGAGTGCGTTGCAGGTGTTGACTGTATAAAGTATGGTCTTCACAATGATTATTCGGTAAGACATTTTTAAGGAAATTTTATTGAATAATTGAAATTGAATAATGCCTTTTTGCGGTTTAGAAATTTAATGCTTCTTATTTTCAGATAATGCAACTTATGTCAGTTTGGGGACCGTTTATTTACGCTGGTTGTTTTGCAGCGACACTCTCCACGGCCTTAACGAATCTACTATCCGTTCCTCGCTTAATACAAGCTCTCGGTCAAGATAAAATCTATCCTGGTTTGATATTTTTTAGTAAAGGATATGGAAAATCCGGAGAGCCCTACAGAGGCTATGTGCTAACTTTTCTTGTAGCCGTTCTCTTCGTCTTAATAGGTGAATTAATTTCTTTATCTCCCTAAAGTTAGCGTCGACGCTGTCGCTAAGCATCAAAAACAATTTTTTTTTCCACGAAATCGAACCCCAAATAATAGTTTTTGACGCTGAGAGTCAACGCTAACTTGAGGAACATCTTTATATTAGAATATTAATGATAATAAGGAAAGCTTCTTCTAAATGTTGAAATATTTAAATTTTCAGCAAATTTGAACTTGGTGGCACCACTTATTTCAAACTTCTACCTCGCATCTTATGCCCTCATCAATTTTTGTACATTCCACGCCGCCCTCGTTCGTCCCTTGGGTTGGCGTCCAACATTCAAGGTTTGTATCAATCATTCTGCGCGAATAAGACCTTATCAACTTATTATTTTTCAAAAACTTTCCACAAATGTTTCTCAAGATTTTTCAACATTTTACCCCTCGTGTAGAAATTGACATATTTTGAGCATAATATGGCATGAAACACCTTCCCAGATCGGGGCCAGATCTGGCCGGACTTGGCCCTGATTAGAGCCATGGCATAATTTCTAAACGGGCCTGAAGTACCTTTTATCACTATTCTGTTTCTGTATGTTTAAAATAAGGCTTCGTACTCGATAATTAATTTTAAAAAAGTAGCAAAAAACTAGCTATCGAAAAATCAATAAAACACCCACGATTTTTTTAGATTTAAAGATAACAAAAAGATCAAATTCTACTTTTCATTTCCATTAGTTTTCCATTAATCAGAATCACGATTCTAAATCGACCCTTTATATAGTAAGTTTTCGACTACATGTGTATTTTAGATCACGAATCTAAATCGCTTTAGTTTTATATTAATTGAGGGTGGTCACAAGTTTCAGTTTATCAGTTTCCCTGACATTTCCCTGACATTAAAATTACTCTCTCTGACAAAATTCTTTTTACAGGAAAGTATGAATGTTTACGGGAAATGAGTAAAATTTATGAATTTTAATAATTTCTAAAAATTACAATTATAACCCTTCCTGGATTTAATTATTTTCTACAATTTTCAACTAAATTTCATCTCTGAATTAATTAATTTAACTTATTATTATTAGCATTATTTTTATTATTAATAATTTAAGTTCTTCTAGAATTCAATTATTTAAATAAAAAAATTCAATTTTTTATAATAATTGCAACTCTTCATAATTTTTCCTAAAGTTATTAAATTTTTGAAAAGAAAAATTTTCATAAATTTTTATTTACATTGTTCAAAGATAATTGAATATTAAAAAATTATTAATAAAACAATTCTGATAATCAATTTTTTAAAAATATTTTAATTTAATTTTTCGAAAATTATAGAAATTTATTAAAATTTTTAGAAAAAAAAATTGAAATTTGGTAAAATCTTTGAAAAATAATTGTAATTTGATACAATATTTCAAAAATATTTGAAATTTGTTAAAATGTTTGAAAAATAATTTAACTTTGGTGAAATCTTTGAAAAATAATAGAAATCTGATCAAATATTTAAAAAAAAAATTAGAATTTGATAAAATATTTTTAAAATAATTGAAAATTTGTTAAAATTTGATTTTTTATGAATAATTAAATTCTTTTGACAAGTTTCTTTAAATTTTTTGAAAATAATGCTTTTTTTAATAATTTTAATTGAAAAAAAAAATTGAAAATTATTTTTTTTGAAAATTTTCAAAATAATTGAATTACATAAAGAATTTTTTCAATTTTTTAAAATAATCTTGTCTGTTCATAATTGTAATTTGAAAATTTGATTAATTCAATTTTATTAAAATGTATTGATACTAATTGAATTTCTGCAAAGAATTTTACTACATATTTATAAAAGTAATTAAATCCTTAAAAAGAATGTTATTATTATTTTTGAAAATAATTAAATGTTTTCGAAAAATTATATTAAAGTTTTTAAAAATAATTTAGTTGTGGAGAACAATTTAATTATTTTAAAAAATATTTGAAATATAAAAATAATTGAAAATTTGTTAAAATTTTTGAAAAATAATTGAAATTTAATTAATACTTTGAAAAATAATTAAAATTTGATAAAATATTTCAAAAATAATAAATATTTGTTCAAATCTTTGAAAAATAATTGAAATTTAGTAAAATATTTCAAAAATAATTAAAATTTGGTAAAATTTTTTAAAAATAATTGAAATTTTGTAAAATATTTAAAAAATAATTAAAATTTGGTAAAATCCTTCAAAAATAATTGAATTTTGGTAAAATTTATGAAAAATAATTGAAATTTGATAAAATATTTCAGAAATTATTGAAATTTATTAAAATTTTTTTTAAATAATTGAAATTTTGTAAAATCTTTGAAAAATAATTGAAAATGGATAAAATATTTCAAAAATGATTAAAATTTGTTAAAATCTTCGAAAAATAATTGAAATTTGATAAAATATTTCAGAAATGATTGAAATTTATTAAAACTTTTTAAGAATAATTGAAATTTGGTAAAATCTTTGAAGAATAATTGAAATTTGATAAAATATTTTTAAAATAATTAAAATTTGGTAAAATCCTTCAAAAATAATTGAATTTTGGTAAAATTTATGAAAAATAATTGAAATTTGATAAAATATTTCAGAAATTATTGAAATTTATTAAAATTTTTTTTAAATAATTGAAATTTTGTAAAATCTTTGAAAAATAATTGAAAATGGATAAAATATTTCAAAAATGATTAAAATTTGTTAAAATCTTCGAAAAATAATTGAAATTTGATAAAATATTTCAGAAATGATTGAAATTTATTAAAACTTTTTAAGAATAATTGAAATTTGGTAAAATCTTTGAAGAATAATTGAAATTTGATAAAATATTTTTAAAATAATTAAAATTTGGTAAAATCCTTCAAAAATAATTGAAATTTGGTAAAATTTATGAAAAATAATTGAAATTTGGTAATGTTTTTTTAAATAATTGAATTTTTGAAAAATATAAATAAAAATGATCAAATTTTTGAAAATTTTTAATTATAAACAGGACCGACCATAATTTGTTAAAAATTTTAATAAGTCCAAAAAGTAAATTTTCATTCATTTTTTTTATTTACATTGTTCGAATATGTAATTAAAAATACTGAAAATATTGAATTTTAAAGAATTATAGAAGCTTAGTTTCATTAATTTTTATTTTTAAATTTACTTTTAAAGATTTTTCATTAAAATTTTTGATACCTGATTCAGTTATCAAAAACATTGAATTTTAAAGAATTAGAAACTAATTTTCATTAATTTTCATTTTTAAATTTTCCTTTTAAGATTTTTCATTAAAATTTTCGAGAATTAAATTATTTTCAAAGTTTGCAATTAAAATTCTTCAAAAGATAATTTTCAAAAATTGTAACAAAATACTTAAAAAAAAAATGTAATTATTTTCAATTAAATTTGATAAAATTTCAACTATTCAAAAAGATTTTATTATAGATATATTTGAAAAATTTTAGAATGATAAAAAATGATTCAAAAACAATTTTTGAAAGATTTGTTTAGATATTTTTCGCATTATAAAAAATCAAAATAAGTTGCACTTTTTTACTAAAAATTTTAGTATATTTTGTTGCAATGTTTGGAAGAAAAGTCGAAATAGTCGCAATTTTTGAAAATAAGTCAAAAAAGTCTCAATTTTCTTAATTTCCCTGACAAAAAATTTGTTTCCCTGACATTTCCCTGATTTTACTGACATGTGTCCACCTTGAATTAATGTACATTGAAACCAACCAAAAGATTTCTAATGATTATACTGATAAAAATTTTTGTTTGATTGTTAATTAGTATTACAACACATGGCTCTCATTAATGGGATTCATTTTGTGCGTGTCAATTATGTTTCTAATTGACTGGGCAACATCACTAATTACGTTTGTGATTATTTTCGCGCTTTATCTCATTGTCGTTTATCGAAAGCCAGATGTCAATTGGGGAAGCAGCACACAAGCGCAAACGTACAAGACGGCGCTTTCAATTGCTTACAAGTATTATATTTCTACTTAATTACTTTACACAATAATTCATTAGTATTTAATTATACTGCATGATAGTTCATTAGTATTGATTTATTAAAAAAAAGCAAAGAGAATGTAAAAAAAATATTTCATCCCACGAATAGAATGATTAATTAGATGAATGTTTTATTTGATTTCAGACTGAATTCAATGGATGAACACGTGAAAAATTATGCACCCCAAATTCTGGCGCTTACAGGATCACCAAATACAAGGCCAGCTTTACTTCACCTTGCAAATCTCATCACTAAGAATAATTCATTACTTATATGTGGGGAAGTTTATCCGGTATGATTAAATATTTCATAAATATAATTACTTGGAAAGAATTCGTCTATGAAAAATATCTCACGATGAATTTTAATATTAGGTATTATACTAATTATGTTGAAGTTGAAAAAGTTTTTTAAAATTGGGTTTTTGACTCTACATTTACAGACTCGTCTTTCTTATCGAGTGCGCACGAATCATTTGAGAACTGGATATTCTTGGCTCCAAAGACATCGAATAAAAGCTTTTTACCACATTGTGGAGGAACTTAGTTTAGAAATGGGGGCGTCTGCCTTAATGCAAGCCACAGGAGTTGGAAAATTGGCTCCAAATGTGGTACTTATGGGCTACAAGACCCACTGGGCGACTTGCAACAATAGAGAACTTCAAGAATACTTCAACGTTCTTCAGTAAGATGATGTTTATTATGATATTATTATTGTAGTTAATTCAGGTTTACCATAATGCAGAGAATTCAGGAGAGTCAAGAAAAAGTCGGGGATTATTATTAAAAGTACTGGAAAAAATTGATTACAAGACAAAAAATCAAATCCAAAAAATCCAAAACGAAAAATCTAAGAAAAAAAAGTCCAACGTACAAAAAATCCAAAATAAAAATGTCTAAAAAGTCAAAAAAAATCTAAAATAAATAAAAATATCCAAAATAAATAATGAATCATGTGAAAAAGTCACGTTTTTACTTTTTACACTATAAAATCGGAATTTTATAATATGTTAATGTTAAAATCGCAGGATTTTAATTATTTACATAAATAAAAAAATTCTTCAGAAAAATTCAATTATTTTCATAAATAAAAAAAATTCTTCCCAAAAATTCAATTATTTTCGTAAATAAATTAAATTCTTGACAAAAATTCAATTATTTTTTTCAATATAATTCCAATTAAATTACTGGATTAATTTAATTATTTTCAGAAATTTAAAATGATAAGTTTACCTATACATTCGATTCAAAGTCATCGAAATGAGCAACTCAAAAAAAGGACAATTTCATTCAAGGCAACCAATTACATTTTTATATCTCAATTTTTTTCATTGGATTTTTAATTTCTTTGGACTTTTTGGTCAGGACAAAAAATAAGTCCAAAGTGAAACAAATGTTTTTTTTTACTTTTTTGAATTTCATTTACTTTGGATTTTTGGTTTGGACTTCTTAAATTTTTATTTGTTTGTTTTTAAAAGAGTTACAGTAACAATATTCTTATAATATAAAATAATATCAGGTTGTCTACTATTTTCGTTTAGCAAAATTCCCGGTTTTTCCCGGCTTTGTCCTAATTTTTCCCGGTTTTTTTTTCATCAAATTTAAATTTATTTAATTTCGAACATAAATAAATCTATAGATTTTTTATGAATAATTAAATTCTTTTGACGAGTTTCTTTAAATTTTTTGAAAATAATTTTTTTTTTAATAATTTTTAATAAAAATTTGGAAAATAATTGAATTAAACAAAGAATTTTTTCAATATTTTAAAATAATTTTGTCTGTTCATAATTGTAATTGAAAATTTGATTAATTCAAGTTTATTAAAATGTATTGATACTAATTGAATTTATGCAAAGAATGTTATTATTTATAAAAGAAAAAAATTAAATGTTTGCGTAGAATTTTATTAAAATTTTTGAAAATAATTGAATTGTGGAGAACAATTTAATTATTTATAAAGATATTTGAAATTTTGAGGAGAATTTAAACAAATTTTTAAACATAATTGAATTTCTGGGAAGAATTTTTATTACTTTTAAAAATAATTAAATTATTTTTTAGAATTTTATGAAAATTTATAAAAATAATTGAATTCTTGTGAAGAATTTTATTTAAAAATAATATTCAACAGAATTTAGTAAATCTGAAGAATTTTGCTATTTATGGAAATAATTGAATTCTTGAGAAGAATTTTTTTTTTACAGTTTCCAGAAATAATTGAATTCTGTCGACGAATTTTAATAGAATTTTTAAGAATAATTACATTTTTCGAGGAATTCCATTAAAATTGTATTAAGAATAATTGAAATTCTGCAATGACTTTAACTATTTATGAAAATAATTGAACATATTGCGAAGAAATTTTTAAAAATAAAATTATAATTACGGTGACTAACTTCCCTTGATTATTTAAGAAAAATTTAAATAAAATTCTTTAAAAGAATTTAATTATTTTTAATAGAATATAAAAAAAATTTCAATTATTCGTTTATAAAAATTATGTTTTAAAAATATTTGAAATCCTGGGATGAATTTTATTAAAATTTTCAATAATAATTGAATTCCTCAGAAGAATTTTATTATTTATAAAAATAATTAAATTATTGCTAAAAATTTTATTAAAATGTTTAAAAAGAATTGAATTTCTGTCAAAAAAATTTGTTATTTTTTGCAAAGAATTGAATTCTTCATAAGAATTTTATTTCAATTATTTGTTTATAAAAATTCAATTATCTTGAAACAACAGAATTGAAAAATTTGAAAAATCTTATTTTTCAGAATTTAAAAAAAAAACTTTGCGAAAATTCAAATTTATTAAAAAATTTTAAGTGTGTATCTTTTTTTAAATTAACTAATAAAAATTTTAATTATTAATCTTCGCACTAAAGAAACATGAATACATTAGAATGTGACTCTTTATAAAATTCTATTATTTATCAATTTTTAAATAAAAATACTTTGAAAATTCGATTTGTTAAAAAGTTTTTAATGAAATTCTTTAACAAATTTAATTATTTTATTTATTTTCAGTTGAATTTCACAAAATTTCTATTAATTCGACAATTTTTTGAAAATTTATTTAAATCCTATATTTGTAGAGATGTGCAAAAAGCTCGAAAAGTCGAGCCGAGCCGAGCCCGAGCCGGCTCGATGTATCGAGTACTCGAAATTTTCGAGTACTCGAGTGACTTCGAGTACTCGAAAAATTCGAGTACTCGGGTAAATTCGAGTACTCGATTAAATTCGAGCACTCGAGTGAATTCGAGTACTCGAATTTTTCGAGTACTCGAATGGATTCGAGCTTTTGACTTACTAAAAAAACTATTAATAAGTAAAAAATTTCGAATTTTTTTGAATTACTGAATCAATATTTCTATTTGCTAAATATAATAAATGCGAAAATTCTATAAATTTTCTCTAGAACTCGAATTTACTCAGAGCTCGAAAAAATTCGAGTACTCGAATTCCCTCGAGTGCTCGAAAAATTCGAGTACTCGAATTAACTCGAGTACTCGAAACTATTCGAGCTTTTTACACAGCTCGGCTCGGCTCGAACTCGGCTCGAGCTCGAACTGATTAGGCTCGGCTCGGCTCGGCCCGAAAAATGAAAAGCTCGAAAAAGCTCGCTCGAGCCTCGAGCCTCGAGCTTTTTGCACAACTCTATATATTTGAATCAGTGACTGATTTTTTACTATCGACTGATTTTGTCAGTCGGTCATCTTTAATTATTAGAAAACATGAAAATATCGATTGCTCCGAGTCGAAGACTCGGAGTGATCGATATCTTCATGTTTTATAATAATTATAATATTTTTAAAAGTTGTTGAATTTCAAAAAGGTTTGAATTTGAAAATTCTTAAAGTGAATCAAAATATTCTTTAGGGTGAGGGAAAAAATGAAAATTTTGTATATATATGTAAATCAGGGAAAGTGAGGAATTTTGATGATTTCTTTCAGCAATGCCTTTGATCACAAACTAGCAGTTGCTATATTGAGGATATCGGAAGGTTTAGATTGCGCTGGTAATGCAAACGGAGTGTCAGAAGATGATCATGGAACTTTGGCGCAAAGCAGTTATGATCTAGCTGGAAATACCCTCATGCACGCGGATAGTGACTTAAGTATGAGTACAGGAATTCCGCGAGTTCAGAGCGTTCCAACGATAGGTATGACTAAACACTAAAACATTTTTATAAATAGAGCAACGTACTTGGTTAAATTAAAAAATTTATCCGGCTTTTATATAAATTTATTCTCGAAATAATTTTCCAGGCTACAACTATCCATGTACAGAAATGTCCTCAGTTATTAGGGATTCTCCGGTAAATTGGAGCGCACACGAACAGTTGAAGCACAAAAAGAAACATGCTGCTGAAAAATTATTACTGTAAGTAATTTCTAAGAATATTATTTATAATACATAATAATATAATTATATTTATGAATATATAAGTCACTTTATGTATTTAAATTCTCTTTTTAGACGAAATGGAATGAGTGTAGTGCCGGAATATTTGACAGTCTTTCAGAAAAAGCATAAAAATGGGATAATCGACGTTTGGTGGCTTTATGACGATGGAGGTAAAGCTATCTTACTGATTTATTCAACTTTGTGAAATAAAATTATAATAACTAATATAATTACTATATAACTAATATTTATAAATTTATAATAATATAAATAATTATAATACAGGTTTGACGATTCTTCTCCCCTATATAATCAGTACCAGATCACATTGGGAGCATTGTAAAATGAGAATATTTGCCCTTGCTAATCACAAACAGGAAATTGGAGCCCAGGAAAAAGAGTGAGTTTATAAATTATACACATTCATAGAAAAGAAAATATTTAAAAGACTTAATTAAATTCTCTTTCGCAGAATGGCAGAAATAATGGCGAAATTTCGAATAAAGTACACAAGTCTTAAAATGGTTGACGACATTAGTATTCAACCTCAAAAATCAACGCAGGAATTTTTCGACAAACTCATATCGGATTTTACTAAAAATGGATCTGAATCGACAGGTAAAGTCATTTACTAAAACCTACTATATTGCTACTTTTTTTACGTTATGCTACTATTTGGAAATTTTTTTTAGATTTCAACCACTAAAAGCTAATATTTCTGTTTATTTTTTTTTTTAGAATTTCCACTATACTTTATTCGCTAATACTAGAAATCAAAAAACTATTCTAAAAAATTATAATCAAATTCTTTAAAACGATTCAATTATATTCAAAAAGTATTCGAAATTCAATTCTTTTCATTATCTAGTATATTTACATCAAATTTCGTAAAAGAATTCAATGTTTAACAAAAGAATTGATAGAATTCTTTACAAAATTCAATTATTTTCATAAATAATACAATTTACACAGGAATTCAATTAATTCAAAATAGCGTTTAAAAAAAAAAATTAGAAAAAAATCAATTATTTATACAATTCTTCACAATTCTTCATTAATTTAAATACTTTCACTAATAATATTTTTCATGGAAATACAATTATTTAAAAAAAAAAAATTTTATATAATTCTAAGCAAGAATTCAATTATTTTCATAAATAATAAAATTCTTGTCAGGAATTCAATTATTTTTGACAATTTTTTATTTTAATAACATTCTTAACAACTATTTAATTAATTATTTTCATGAATAAAAAAATTCATCGCATGATTTAAATTATTTTTAATACAATTTTACAGAAATTGATCAAAAAAATGTAATTATTCTTAAAAATTTAATTTCAGTTCTTCGAAAAAATCAATTAATTTCAATTATTTTAAATTGTTTTAAATTATTTTAAAAAATATTTTATTCAAATTCTTTTTAAAAATTCAATTATTTACAAAAATATTAGAATTTTTCACAGGATTTAAATTATTTAAAAAAATTCTAATAAAATTTTTCGTAAGAATTCAATTATTTTCATAAATAATAAAACTCATCGAAGAATTTCAATTACTTTTAATACTATTTAAATTTAACTTATCGAAAAATTCAATTTTTTTCAAAAATAAACTTTTCCACAAGAATTCAATTATATTTAAAATAAAATTTTCATTATATTTATTATGTTTCGAAAAATTTAATTATTTAAAATAATGTTTATAAAATTCTTATGAAGAATTCAATTATTTTCAGAAACAACAAAATTCTTTCATAGAAATTCAATTCTTTTTAAACATTTTAATAAAATTTTTCGCAATAATTCAATTATTTTCATAAATAATAAAATTCTTCTCAGGAATTCAATTATTTTTGAAAATTGTAATAAAATCCTTAGCAACTAATCAATTATTTTTATAAATAATGAAATTCAACGCAGGATTTCAATTATTATTAATACAATTTTACAGGAATTGCTCGAGAATATTAATTATTTTTAAAAATTTAAATTCAATTCCTTGAAAAAATCAATTATTTACAAAAATATTAGAATTTTTTACAGGATTTCAATTATTTAAAAAAATTCTAATAAAATTTTTAACAAGAATTCAATTATTTTCAAAAATAACAAAATTCTTTCATAGGAATTCAATTCTTTTCGAAAATTGTAATAAAATTCTTAGCAACTATTCAATTATTTATTTTTATAATTTAAATAAAATTTTTAATTTTACTAATTTACAATTTAATATAATTTCACTGTTTACTATTTTTAAATTTGAAAAAAAAATTTTAATTTCACAACATAATTTTGGAATGAGCACACGTTGAATGAAATTTTTGATTTGAAATTTAAAAAATAAAAAAAAGCAATGTTTGGAAAAAACGACTATTGGAAAAATAATACTTTGGTAAAAATGGCCTTTGGAAAAATAATACTTTGGAAAAAATATCATTTGGGAAAATAATAATTTGGATCCTTCGGAATTGGAACTTCTGTTTTGGAACTTTTGACTCCATACCCAATTATTGTCAAAAATTTTAATAGAATTCTTTGTAAAATTTAATTATTTTTAAAAACTTTTCGCACATCAATGATTTTTAATATCTATTTTCAAAAAAATTTCCAAACAGAATTCAATTATTTAAAAAAAATTTTTGTAAAAATCTTCTTAAGAATTCAATTATTTTTATGAATAATAAAAATTTCTCAGGAATTCAATTATTTGTAAATAATTGAAATAAAATAAAATTATAGTCGAAATAAATGAATTATTTAAAAATTTTAATTAATTATCTAGTGTAAAGTCTGAAATAAGTTTTTGAAAATAGTATTATGGGATAATCTGATTTAATAATATTTTTTTAGACTGCATTGTCACCAACGAGGAACTTCAGAGTTTAAGGGACAAAACCCATCGGCAATTAAGACTACGAGAACTCCTTCTAGAAAACTCGAGTCAATCGACTTTAGTTGTAATGTAAGTGATTCGTTTGTAATTGAAAAATTGAAAATAATTTAATTTTTCTTTTTCGACTCAATAAAAACTATAAATTTTCGATTTAGGTCATTGCCAATGCCAAGAAAAGGTGCAGTTTCTGCTCCATTGTACATGGCATGGCTAGAAGCACTCACGAGGGACATGCCACCCACGTTACTGATAAGAGGGAACCACACTTCAGTATTAACATTCTACTCCTAGTATTTAAAAAAAGTTGGACTTTGTTATGCAGCAAAGGAATCTAATTTTAAACATTATGATCAAATTTATCTTTTTTTTTCGTCACACATAGAAATAATAGTTTCAATATTTTAATGACGTATTTAAATTTATTTTTTATTACTAAACGTTAATTTTATTTATTTTTAAATCTATACAATCGCTTTTATGCACAACAAAATCCATTTTAGTTTTTAAATAATTTTAGTAAAATAATAAATTTAGGGAAACAGTATTCAAGCAATTTGCTATATATATGGTAATTATGTACATTAAATTTTTGACTGAACTGATATTTATTTTAAACAAATTTTCCATAAAGTAATCAATTCAGTCAAATATTCGATTTTTATAAAAAATGAAAAGAAAAGAACAAAAAAAAAAAAAATATATAAAAAAATGTATTGTTAATAATCTGTGAAAAATATTTTGCACAAACATTCTATAGAAAGAAATTATTTTATTACAATGAAAAACTTATATTATTTTAGGATTTTGTTTGTTATCGTATATGTCAATAGTTCAGAGAGTTTTTAATGGAAATTTATTTATTTACTTAATTTTAAGAATTTAGATAATAGATTTTTAATCAACGTGATGAATTTATAAATTTAATAAAAGAGCATAACATTATACAAATTCGCTTCCACTGACGATGTACACTAGTCTCGCTTAAGAATTTAAAAAAAAATATGCTTATTTGAATTCGACTGACGTAAGAAACATAAGTATAAAAATATTTACCGTTTTGACATAAAGAGTTGTTTATTATTTTTCCTAGTATTTAATTATATTTTCAGAATTCAAAATTTGTACAAAAATATTTTGGCGATTGTTCTTTTTTTTTTTTTTGAAAATTTATCTTAATTTATACGTCATTGCTTCTAGTTCTAGTTCTTCTCGAAAAAGACGTAGTTCTAGGTGTTATAATCCTATATTTAAATTCAAACACCAAAATTAGTATAAAAAAAAAAGTTGAATTTAGAAAATACCAGGGCTCGAACCAGTGAAAGTATTTAAAAATACGGACTTTACGGAACAAAAATGAAAAATTACGGACCATTTACGGACCAAATTACCGACAAAATTATAATCAATCCAAGTCAAATAAGAGAACATTTTACTTAAAACTAGAAATTAAATTTTTCATAACAATAAAACATGAAGATATCGATAAATCCGAGTTCGGAGTGATTCGACTCGGAGCGATCGATTTCTTCATGTTTTATAATAAAGATGACTGAGTGATAAAATCATTACCAATTCAATTATTATTTTCAAGAATTTCTAACTAAAATTATTCTTTAAATCGATTATTTTTGATAATTTTCGAAAAAGTTCTTTGGCAATTTTCAAATCCATTTGTTTACAATATTCAATTTTACGAAATTTCAATTATTTTTCAAAAAAATTAATTTCAAAATTCAATTATTTCTAAAAATTCACGCAATAATGCTTTGAATATTCAATTATTATCTAAAATTTTAACTAAAATTAATTTTTTAATCAATTTTTATTAGAAAATTCTACGAGAATTAAATTATTAAAATACAAAAATAAATAATTTTTTAAACAGTTGAATGTTTCTTAAAATTCAATTCTAAAATTAAAAGAATTTTATCAATAAATTTTTAAATAATTGAATTCTTTTGACGAATTTTAATAAATTTTTCAAGAATAATTACATTTTTGGAGGAATTCGATTAAAATTCTATTAAAAATAATTGAAATTCTGCGATGAGTTTCATTATTTGTAAAAATAATTGAATCCCTAAGAAGAATTTTATTACTCTTGAGAATAATTGAATTTCTGCAATAATTTGTAACTTTTCCAAAAATTAAATTTTTTTCGTATTTTTAACTAAAATTCTTCTTTAAATCGATTATTTTTCATAATTTTCAAAAAAGTTCATTGACAATTTTCAAATCCATTTGTTTACAATATTCAATTTTACGAAATTTCAATTATTCGTAAATTCTTCAATTAAATATATATTAGAAAATAAAAACTTGAAATAATTTTTTTTAAAAAATCCGTAATTAAACTTTCTCAAAAAAAATTAATTCATTAAAATTTTAACTGAAATCCATTTTTAAATCAATTTTTATAATAAAATTCTACCAGAATTCAATTATTTTAAAAAATAATTAATCTCATCGAAGAATTTCAACTCTTTTTAATACAATTTTAAATTAATTATTCGAAAAATTCAATTATTTTCACAAATAAACTTTTCCACAAGAATACAATTATATTAAAATAAAATTTTCATTATATTTCAACTTCAATATAGAAATTCAATTTTTTTTAAACATTTTAATAAAATTTCTGGCAATAATTCAATTATTTTCATAAATAGCAAAATTCGTCTGAGGAATTCAATTATTTTTGAAAATTTTAATAAAATTCTTAGCAACTATTCAATTATTTTCATTAATAATAAAATGCTTTTTGGGAATTCAGTTATTTAAAAAAAAAATTTAATAAAATATCACACAGATACAATTAAACTTTCTCAAAATAATTAATTCCACAGAATTGTTAGTTAAAAATAGGAAAAATTCAGAGTTTCAAAGATTTTAATTTGAAACCTTTTTAAAAATTTAATTATTTTAAAAATTCACACTCTATTGCTTTTAATATTCAATTATAATCTAAAATTTTAACTGAAATTAAATTTAAATAAATTTTTTTAAGACAATTCTACTAGAATTCAATTATTTAAATACAAATAAAACAATTTATTGAATAATTGCATATTTCTTAAAATTGAATTCTCATAAAGAATTTTATTCATAAATTTTTAAATAATTAAATTCTTTTGACGAATTTTAATAAAATGTTTGAGAATAATTACATTTTTTGAGGAGTTTGATTGAAATTGTATTAAAAATAAATTAAATTCTGCAATGATTTTTATTATTTATGAAAATAATTGAATGATTGAGAAGAAATTAACAAAAAAAATTGAATTCCTGTGAAATTTTTATTATTTTAAGAAATTAATTAAAGGTTTGCGTAAAATTTTAATTAAATTTTTTTTTACATAATTGAATTCTTTTGGACAATTTTAATTATAATAGTAAATATTGAAAATCATTGATTGAGAGAAATTTTTGAAAATAATTGAAATTTTGCCAAGCATTTTATTAAAATTTTTGAAAACAATTGAATTTCGGAGAAGAATTTAATTATTTCTAAAAATAATTGAAATTTTTGCGAAGAATTTTATTAAAATTTTTGAAAATAATTGGATTTCAGAAAAGAATTTAATTATTTTTTAAAAAAATTAGAAATTTTAACGAGAATTTTATTTTATTTTTGAACATAATTGAATTTTTGTGTAGAATTTTATTACTTTTGAAAATAATTGAATTCCTGCAATCATTTGTAATTTCTCTAAAATTCTCCAAATTATATCGTACAATTTGCACAATTTTCATTTTTTCTCAATAAAATTATGGACATTGCGAACTTTTTTTTTAAAAAAACGGACTTTTACGGAATTTACGGACCTAGTTCGAGCCCTGAAATACCGAAAAATAAATACCAAATGATTTTTGTCTCATAACTCACTTTGGACCGTTGTTTTCAAAAATCTTTGCAAAAACAGGTTCAATTTGTTCAATCATATCGGAAGCTAACATTGATCTCTGTTTAAGTTTAAAAGTCGCTGAATTACATTCTCTAGTCATTCGTGATGCACCATAGCAAGCAGTGATTTGAGGTGAAAGTGCACATTCACTGGGTCCGGCACTAATCGCCCACCACCAGAAAACGGCCAAAATTCCCGCCATAATATCACCTTGTCCTCCACATCGTCTTCCAGATCCACCCAAAGAAGAAGTCACCGTTTCAGTCGCCTTGTGTCCATCAGCAATTATATCCTTCGCCCCCTTGTGAAGAATCACAATATTCTTTCCAATCGAGTCAGCCAAAAATTTAACATCAGCCGCTTTTGGTACCGACGCCGGTTGAATTGATCTATCCAAAAAGCTCTTGAACAATCGACTAAATTCCATTGCATTTGGCGTGAGAATAACACCTGGATAGTCCTTCAAAAGATCCGGTTTCATTCCAATGATAAACAAACCATCAGCGTCAATGACCAGGGGCTTTTTCATATGACGACAAACACCAATGAGCTCGACGACTGTTTTCATATTTTTCTCATCTCTCCCAAGACCACATCCAATAATGATAACGTGCAATCGTTCTAACCATGGTTTAATAGCCTTAATCGGAGTCTGATGATCCAAAATCGGATGAACTATCAAATCGGGACTTAGACATTTTATCGGCGTACTGGCTTCCTTTGTACAAAATATGTGAACTAAATCAGCACCAAGTCGAAGGGCACTCATTCCTGCATAATAAGGAGCTCCCGTATATTCAACTGAACCACCAACAATTCCAATTCGTCCATCCTGACCCTTATGCTTCGAGGAACTTAAATTTGGAACTATTTTCTTAACAGCCTTCACCATGCGCTCATCAGTTGCTAAAGTTGCAGACATTCTCGACTTATTCAGCTGCAATAAACTTTCTCTGAAAAATTGTCTACTTGCCAAAAAACTCTTATAAAATAACATTATAAATTTTCAATTAAATCACTAAATATTTTAAATTATTCCATTTCTTTTAAATTGATTCAATTATTTTACTATTATTGTTATTATTATTAGCAGTTTCTGCACATTAAATATTTTTCGACGAGAAATACATAATTACCTGATAATTATTTCTAAGTTTTTTAAGTATCCAACCAATTATGTAACTTATTTTAATTTCGGTCTATATTTTTACAGTTAACAACCTTTTGAATCCATGACCTAATATTATAATTTTTTGGGGTTAATAAATATTGTTCCTGACACTTCGAATTTAGATAAATAATAGTCTCCTGTCTCTATGTTCAGTTCTATTCACTTTAAAGAAACTGAAAGAAACTTCAACCACGGTGGGAAAAAAAACGAACGAAACGAAAAACAAAAGTTGTTGACTGATATAAAAGTTCAGTATTTAAAAAATAACTTCCGTTTACTTTAGTATCGTAAAATTGATGAGTCATGTACACTAATTATAAACTGTTTTTCTTATTTCTGCAGGAAACGAATTTGTATATAATGTTTACATTTTGCGAGAGAGAATCGCCATCGCGCGCAATGTAGGCGCGCAGATAAAATTTGAGGTTATGTCGCAGACCGCAAACCGCAAGAACAAATTTCGGGAAATTTATAGAATGTCAATGACATTCAGAATGCTCAGAATAATCAGAGTGGTGTTAATTATTAAATAAATTATGTATAAATACTTGAGAATTTATCCTTTTCCATTGATGTCCGCTTACCGGTTGTATTTGCACTCGTAATCCCCTTCCTTGCTTTTTTCACACTGTTTGAGTTTGACACATCACTAAATGACGAAAACGAAGTTTGGCTATCAAACAACAGTTTTATATCATTTTTTGCAATCATATTACCAGAAAAGTAAAGACTAATTTAAATAATTAAACTTCTGTTTAGTTGCACTGTTGCTCTTCCATTTTCACAATTCACACTGTTGCACTCTTACGCACGTATCACATGACTGCAGGACTGCAACTCTTCTCCTATTGGCTGTTGCCCCAGCTACTCATCCCTGCAGACAGGCAACTTAAATTTTGGCGGTAAATATTTAAATATTTACTTACAAAAGTTGCAAGAAATTCGTTAAGCAAAAAAAAAATTTAGATACAAAATTAACTATTTGTCAATTAGAAAATTTAATTGAAAATGAAACTGAGGATTTTTGAACTTTTAGAACATAAAGGAAAAAATTTTATTTGAAAAAAATGTTCTTTTAAATTTATTTACGAATAACTTTAATTGTCGTCAAATTATTCGATATTATTTTCGAAAGAAAATAATTTCTTTTTTTAAATATTTAATTATTATTATTGTTAAATTTTTTAATTGTTTATTAAATAATTGAATATTTTTTAAAATTTAATTCTTATAAAGAATTTTATTAAAAATTTTTTAAATTGTTGAATTCTTTTGACGAATTTTAATAAAATTTTTTAGAATGATGTTTTAAATTATTTAATTATTATTATTGTTAAATTTTTAAATTGTTTATTCAATAATTAAATATTTTTTAAAATTTAATTCTTATAATGAATTTTATTAAAAAAATTTTTAATTGTTGAATTCTTTTGACGAATTTTAATAAAATTTTTTAGAATATTTTAAATATTTAATTATTATTATTGTTAAATTTTTAAATTGTTTATTGAATAATTGAATGTTTTTTAAAATTTAATTCTTATAAAGAATTTTATTAAAAAAATTTTAAATTGTTGAATTCTTTTGACGAATTTTAATAAAATTTTTTAGAATATTTTAAATATTTAATTATTATTATTGTTAAATTTTTAAATTGTTTATTCAATAATTAAATATTTTTTAAAATTTAATTCTTATAATGAATTTTATTAAAAAAATTTTTAATTGTTGAATTCTTTTGAAGAATTTTAATAAAATTTTTTAGAATATTTTAAATATTTAATTATTATTATTGTTAAATTTTTAAATTGTTTATTGAATAATTGAATGTTTCTTAAAATTTAATTCTTATAAAGAATTTTATTAATAAATTTTTAAATAATTTAATTCTTTTGAAGAATTTTAATAAACATTTTTAGAATATGTAGTTACATTTTTCAATGAATTTGATTAAAATTGTATTAAAAATATGTAATTGAAATTCTTCAATGAGTTTTATTATTTCTGAGAATAATTGAATTCCTAAAAAGAATTTTATTATTTATGAAAATAATTGAATCTCTGAAAAGAATTTTAATATTTATGAAAATAATTGAATTATTGCAAAGAATTTTATAAGAAAAATTTAAATAATTGAATTGATTCGACGAATTTTAATAAAATTTTTACGAATAATTGCAGTTTCCAAAAAATTCAATTATATTAAAAATAATTGAAATTCTGAGATAAGTTTTATTAATTCTGAAAAGAATTTTAATGTTTATAGATATAATTTAATTACTGCGAAGAATTTTACATAAAAAAATTTTAAATAATTGAATTGTTTCGACAAATTTCCATAAAATTTTAAGAATAATTGAATTTTTCGAAAAATTCAAATAAAATTGTATTGAATTGAGAAAAATTTTTGAAAATAATTGAATTTCTAAAATTAATTTTATTATTTTCAAAAATAATTGAATCCCTGTAAAAGGTTTTATTATTTACGAAAATAATTGAATTATCGTGAAGAAATTATTTTAAAATTAATGTAAATATTTGAATTCCTGTGAAATTTTTATTATTTATGAAAATAATTAAATTTTTGCGTAGAATTTTATTAAATTTTTTTTTAAATAATTGAATTCTTTTGGAAAATTTTATTAAAATAGTAGCTATTTAAAATAATTGAATTGAGGAGAATTTTTGAAAATAATTGAAATTTGTCAAGAATTTTATTAAAATTTTTGAAAATAATTGAATTTTGAAGAAGAGTTTTTTTATTTATAAAGATAATAAATGGGATTTTATCGAGATTCTCTTGTAAATTTTTGAACATAATTGAATTTTGTGATAATAATTTTATTACTTTTGAAAATAATTGAATTTCTGCAAATAATTTTAAATTGATTCAAAATTTAATTTGTTTTAGTGTTTTTAACTAAAATTCTTCTATAAATCCATTATTTTTAATAATTAATTAAATATATATACAGTGGAACCTCGATTATCCGAACTAACCTAGGCACGGCCTGATTCGGATAATCGAAAATTCGGATAATAGAGGTTTTAATGTTTTTCATAATTAAAGTAAAAAAATTGGACAGTTGAACTATATGTACATATTTAATTTAATACATTTTTCAAAGATATATAAGTATATATATTAATTTATAATAATATATTAATAAAACACAATATATGATTTTTTTAAGACTTTTTTGGCATAAACAAACATAAGTAATAAAATAAATAGAGAAAATAAATTTTAAAATTCGGATAGCCAAAAAAAAGTTCGGATAATAGAAATTCGGATAAAATGATTTTCGGTTCGGATAATAGAGGTTTCGGATAACAGAGGTTCGGATAATCGAGGTTCCACTGTATATATATTGACAAATTTATCTAATTTTAGAAGATGAAAATAATTGTAATCGCAACTCTTTTAAAATTGAATTAACTGTGAAATATTTAAATAAAATTATTCATTAAAAATAATTTATTTATTTTATTATAGTTTTTTAAGATTTAAGTTATTTAAGAAGAAATTTTTGTCAGAAATTGAAAAAATTGAAGGTTATGTTTTAGAATTCGTGGTAATTTTATAGTTTATGAATTATTTAAACAAAAAAAAAACACAAAAATTCAGAATTTTGTTATGAATTCTAAGAATTTAATTTTTTTGTTTTAATAAAAATTCCTTTCTTTTTCCTGAATTCCCTAAATCAAAATATATGATTATTATAATTATAATAATATTAAAACTATATATTCCAATTAATATTTTATTTTTCTAAAAAAAATTTGAATTAAAAATTTATACGTTCTATTATTTTTAAAATTGCTAATTTTATTTAAAAAAATGAGTGAGAAGTCAGCCGCGCGCGAATTGTTGCTAGTTCTTTGATTAATAAAAATTATTCAATACATATAATGAAAAAACAACTATTAATTAATTTTTACATTATATTGACGTTTCTTGAAAATAATTTGAATAAATAATAAATTCGTGTATCACTCATTGAACCTTTATTAAACCTTTGTGCTTATTATAAGTTCTGTGTATTAGGAAATTTGGTTAAAAGTCTTAGGAAGTGATAATTATGACATTGTTTTAGGAACGGACAAAATCAATAAATTTGAATATATGTATCTATACATATAGAAGTACAATACTTTTAACTTCTCGTTATTAAAATGTATAAAATCTGTATCTAAAACTTAATTTATCTAATTATTATTATTATCATTATTACTATCAACATCTATATAAAATGCAAAAATAATTTTCAACATATATTCAAAACAAAACGTTTCATAGAGAAATTAATTTATTCAGAATTTTGTCCAAACTCCCCCTTTTTAGAACTGTTGAATGTCACAATTAATTGTCAATTACTGAACATATTAATTAACTAATTAATTAATTAATTTGAATGTTAATATTAAATTTGAATTTGTAAAATTGTAAATGTTGGCTTTTTTTAAATGGACCTATAGTTATAAAATGGCAGCAGTATCTGTTTCCTTCGATTACAATCTTAATACCTGCAATTTTAATAAATACACTTTTTTTTCATCACTCAGTCTCTTTTCCACTTTTATGAATAATTGCTGAGAGAGTTCATAAAGGATGGAATACAAAGTACTTTTCATGAAAGCGATTATAGTGTACGTTTTTTTTTTCTTTGCAAAAAGCAGAAAAATGTACATATATTCTCTTTCTAGGAGTATTTTTTTCCTTTTGTGGAAAAATACCCATTTCGCAGAATCTAATGTAATAATGCGGTTTTTGATCTATAACGAGACCTGAATTTTACTTCCTGGAATGTTAAAACTCGGGGATAATTCAAGCCGAAGTGGAATACTGAGTGACGAGTAGTTGAAATTCAGCTTCTTTTTGTAAATATTCCTTTACGAATGGATGCTCCAAATGTGAGTCCTTCAATTGACTGAGGTAACGATTTGCGACCTCTGGAGGTTTTCCCATATGTTGAGAGAGAACAATCATATTGATTAACGTGTCTGGATTATTGCTGTCTTTGTCCAATGATTCTTGCAAAGCGGCTTCGGCTTCGTCGTACTTTGCTTGTCCAATGAAGCAGGTTGCTTGACCGTTTAACAACATACTTGTCGTCGAATGCTTGTCAATCATTTCCTAAAATTTAAATTATTCCTTTGTTATTAAAAATACAATTTTATTTTTAACTTTATGTTATTTTCGAGCAATGAAAATTGCTATAGTAAATTTTAAAAAGTTTAAAATATTCCCAGACTTCGCTCTCGATAATTAATTTTTAAAAAAGTAGCAAAAAGTAGCTTTCAAAGTAAAAAAAGTAGTAAAAAAGTAGCTATCGAAAAATTAAACTTGACGACCAAAAAAACTCGTTTTAGACACTTCACAAAACTGGCAAAAATTCCATTCCATATTTTTTATTTTCCTTCTTGGGAAGAATTTTATAAAAAGTTTTAAATAATTGATTTCTTTCGACTAATTTTATGGAAATTCTAATTTAAATAATCGAATTCCTGGAAAATTTTTCTTATTCATGAAAAGAATTGAATTCTTGCGAACGATTTTATTAGAATTTATTAAAATAATTGAATTTTCAAAAAGAAATTTATTACTTTTACAAATAATTGAATGATTTTCATTAATATTGTTATTTATGAAAATAATTGAATTTTACAAAGAATTTTATTAAAATTCCTCAAAATAATTGAATTTTCGGGAATAATTTTGTTATTAATCGACATAATTTAATTCTTTCGAAGAATTATGTATGTAAATAATTCAATTCCTAGGAAGAATTTTATTAAAATCTAAAATAATAATTGAAATATTTTAAAAAAATTTAATTAAAACTGTATTTAAAATAATTAATTTCTTTCGAACAATTTTATTTAAGTATTTTAAAGTAATTGAATTACTGTGAAAACTTCTAATATTTTTGTAAATAATTGAATTCTTTCAAATAATTTAAATTTTTCCAAAGAATTCAATTTTGTATATATAATAAAATTCTTTTCAATACAATTCAATTTTAATTTATTTCCACCAATAATTTGAATTATTGTCAAAAGTTTTTACAAAATTCTTGGAAAGAATTCAATTATTTTCAAAAATTTTGATAAAATTCTGCGTAAGAATTTAATTTTAATTAGATTTCTGGAAAAGAATTTGATTATTTTTAAAAGCTTCAATAAAATTCTTCGAAACAATTCAAGTATTTTTAAAAATAATTGAATTCTTTGGAAAAATTTTATTAAAATTGAATATTATTCTATTGAAGAATATAATTAAAAAATTTTAAAATAGATGAATTTTAAAAAAAATTTATTAAAATTTTCAAAAATAATTAAATTTCTGAGAAGAATTTTATTATTTATGAAAATAATTGAATTATTGCGAGAAATTTTATTAAAATGTTTTAAAAAAATTGAATTTCTGTAAAAAAAATTTGTTATTTTTAAAAGTAATTGAAATACTAAAAAGCAATTTATTATTAATGAAAACAATTGATTTCTTTCGAAAAATTTTATTAAAATATTTGAAAATAATTAAATTCCTGTGAAAAATTCTATTAATTTTGTAAATAATTAAATTCTTCCAAAGAATTTAAAATAAACATTTTTTAAATAATTAATTGTTTCGAGGAATTGAAATTAAATTTACAAGAATAATTATATCTTTTGAGCAAAGAATTTTAATAAAATTTTCCAAAATAATGGAATTTCTGAGAAGAATTTTATTAAAATGTTTATAGAGAATTGAATTTCGGTAAAAAACTTTGTTATTTTTGAAAATAATTTAATTCTTGTGAACGATTTTATTAGAATTTTTTTAAATATAATTGAATTCTTCCAGAGAGTTTAAAAAATACAATTTTTTTAAATAATTGATTTTTTCGAGGAAATGAAATTAAACTTTTAAGAATAATTAAATTTCTTGAGCAATTCCTGTAAAATTGTATTAAAAATAATTGAAATCCTTCGATGAATTTTACTATTTATAAAAATAATTGAATAGTTGCTAAGAATTTTATTAAAATTTTCAAAAATAATTGAATTCCTGAGAAGAATTTTATTATTTATGAAAATAATTGAATTATTGCGAAAAATTTTCTTAAAATATTTAAAAAGAATTGAATTTTAATGAAAGAATTTTGTTATTTTTGAAAATAATTGAATTCTTCATAAGAATTTTATAAACATTGTTTTAAATAATTAATTTTTTCGAAATATAATAAATATTATGAAAATTTTATTTTAAATAATTGAATTCTTGTGGAAAATTTTATTTGTGAAAATAATTGAATTGTTTTAATTAATTTAGAATACTATTAAAAATAATTCAAATTCTTCAATGAGTTTTATTATTTATGAAAATAATTGAATTCTTGCTTAGAATTTTATCAAAAATTTTTTCAAAAAATTGAATTTCCATGAAAAATATTATTATTAGTGAAAGTAATTGAATTATTGTGAAGAATTGTATAAAAATTTTCTTAAATAATTGTTTTTTTCGAAATTTGTTTGAAAATGCTATTCTAAATTAATTGAATTCCGGTGGAAATTATTATTTATGAAAATAATTGATTTTTGATGAATTTTCTTAATTTTTTTCAAATAAAAATAAGAATGAACTTTTAATAAAAAGAAATTAAACATAAAAATAACCAAATCGTTTGCTTCTTACCCTTCTTACGTATACCTTAGCGTATAAAATAAAAACACTCACCTGAAAAATGTAGTAGGCATCTAGTAATTTATCTCCACCACTACTTATGTTGACCCAAGCTTGAGCAAGTTGAGTGAGTGTCGCGTCATCATCTTTTTCTTGCATTGTTTTCAACTCTTTTCGGGACAAATCCAAACGATCCATTTTCAAATAAATTTGCAGTGTCAATGCGAGGCATTCTAAATGATCGGAATTCCGAAGGACTCGTAGTGCTGATTCTAAATTTTTTTCATGATAATATATTGTAGCTGCGACGATCATAAAATTGTGATTATCTGCATTAGCTTTACTGGCCTCTTGATCTAATTCGTGTAAAATTGTTTCACGACGATTGGGAAATGCAAAATATTCTGCCAACATTTTCAAAGGCAGCAAATCTGGTGGCGATGAATTGTTTATCTCATCTAGAACAACTCGAAATTTCCTTTGCGCTATGTAGGCTCTGTATAAAAATACATCTCGATCAAGTGAAACTTCTGGAGAAGATGGCTAAAAAATTCAAAATTTATATACTTCATTAATAAAACAATTTTACAAATTTAAACATATTAATTGTTCAGTAATTCACTATTATGTAATTACATTTTATTCATAGTAAAACGATTCTATAAATTTAACATTTAATTGTTTACTTTTAATTCTTTAGAAAGATAAGTAATTATTTACAATAATTACCGATTTTTGTGTTTTTCTGTTATTACACAACTATTAGCAGGTTGAAATGCGTATAACATTAAAATATGTATTCTTTTGACAGTCGAAACTCAAAACAATTGTTAATGAAGAATAGCGAAAAGAAAATAATGATAGATATTTAAAAAAATACGAAAAAATGAATTTAACAAATTTAAATTCTTTCAAATGTAAAATAAATAAATATATCCAAATTGACAACGTGGAAATGTATTAACATATTAATACCGAAATCTAACAAAATAATGTTTAAAATTTTTTATAAATTTGCCTCAGGAGTTTTTTTACCTTCACTTTTTGAGCTTCGTTGATGCATTGTTGATAATTTCCAATGTAAAATTGATTTTTTACATCAAATAACTCATCGACGTCCGTCTGTTGCTGACGTGCCATTTTTGTTACACACACACACTACCAAAAGTGTACGCAATTGCATGTAACTTGTCAACTTATTGTTTTGTTTAACAACTTTGCTGCTTTCTAAAAAAGTAAAATATTTTCAAAAATACTGATAAAGTGTAATATATTCAAGTTAGTTGTGAATAGTTAATAAATAGCTCGTGAATGTAAATTTTTCGAATAATCACAACAACATAACCTCAAAAATTGAATATGTCAAAACTGTCAATGTCAACACCAATCTTATTGAAATTTATTTTATTTTAATGAATATTTTGTTTGAAGTTATTAATAAATTTGTTTTAATTAAACCAAACGACAAAATCATTTTAACACTAATTTGTTTAATAAATACATACTCCAATTATTTAAACACAATTTCCAGAATTCCAGATGATTTCCATTCCACGAACCACGATTTCAACAATCGACAAAATTTTGTTTGTACCGTACCAATTGTCCAATTTGTACAGGTCTAGTAACATTCCAGTTTATTAAGTTGTCAGTATGTTATAATTGTCATTTATACAAATTTGAATCTTAATCGATCAGTTTTTCGCTGAAATTTATATTTTAAAACACATGAATTATTAGTAAAAAAAATAATTGCAAAAGGTCAAATAAACACATTTCCTGTGAACTTTTATTAATATATGAATTTAAAAATTAGGTTCATATTTTCAAGGAATTTTTTTGTAAAGGACCCTTTTTATACTACGAATATAATTTGTAGTTACGGAAAATTATTGATCTCTTTATATATACCTATGCAAATGACATAAACAAACGTCAATAGTACAAAGTGTATGTGTAAAACTTACTTTGTAATGTAGTCTCAATATGATTCTTAGATTAACAGTTTTTAGTTTTATTCTTATAATTATGACTTCAAATTCTAAAATATTACGTGGACAACTTGTAACAAATGAAGTGGGTAATTTTTCTAAATATTTCATGTTTTGCATAAAATATCCATTTTAATTGTGATTAAAAAATTGTTCAAATTTATTATTAAAAAATTCACAAATTCATAATAATTAATAATTAATTTTAATAATTAATAATTTTCTAATTTTTGTTAATTTAATCAATTTAATTCATTAATTTAATCAATTGCGTAGTATAATTAATTTAATAATTTCAACTTGAATATAGTAGAAACTAATTTGCTTTACACAATTGTAGATACAGTTGCAATTAATATTAAGTTTATTTCGATTTTTTAGAGAATTTTAAAATAGAAATTCTCTCAAGAAAAAAAAACAATTTTTTTTTAAAGATGAATTATTTATGTAATAAATTCATTAGTCTTTAAAATAAATTAAAATATTTTTCAGAATTGGGCATTTTTGGCGAGATTTTGTTTTTTGTCGGAGAAAGGAAGATTTCAGTATCAATTTATTTTGGAGGAGAATTCTAGCGTAAATTTATTATTGTATTACGATTCAGCAACACAATGGCCAAGTGTTTATCCCTCGAACAAGACGTGTTTGCAAAAGGAGTCGGTCCTAAGCAGAGATCGAGGACAAATTGTGCCTTTAAGTGCCAAGCTAGTGACAAATGGTCCAATAGAATGTATCAAAAACAAAACGACCAAACAATATTTTTGTAATAGTTATCGAGAATTTAAATCGTCGAGACCAAGATGGTGGTTTATCGCTTTATCGGATTGTGAAAGCGAGAAAGGATTAAATGTCACCTACTGGATGACACTAACAAATGGTCCACGTGGAAGTTTCTGGCGGGAACACTTTTCAGCTGATGAATTTTGTAAGTTTTGAAATTTATTTAATCAATAAAATTCATATATACGATATTATCAATTCAGTTACTTGATGATAAACAGTAATAAACTATTATCAGGGTTGCAAGAAAAAAATTTAATTTTGTTTTTCCCTAAATTCTTCCTGATTTTCAGAAAAAAATTTTGAAATTGTTCCTGATCCTAAAGAATATTCTGATTTACTCTAAAAATTATTAGATACTCAAAAAAATGTTCTATTACATTTATTTACGAATTTCTTTAATTGGGAAATTATTCGAAAACACCAATAACTTCATTTTTAAATAAATAATTAAGTCATTATTTATTTAAAATATATAAAATCATTTATTTAAAAATTTACTGCAACTTCTTCAAAATTGTTTTCATCATTTCGAGTTAATTATTATTTTCTAGAAATTTTTAACTAAAATTCTTCTTTAAATCAATTATTCTTAACCACTTGAGCGGCAGTGCGTCAGAATTGGCGTCAGCGTGCAAGTGACAGAAGCGGCAAAAATGCGTAAAAGGCGTCAAAATTTGACTACTATTTTCTCATTCTGTAAGGAGATTTATAATATCACAACAAAGTATTTTTCTTTTTTAAAGTAAATGAGCAGATCTTTAAACAAAAAAATGCTTTTTTAAATATTTCGATTTCGTGAAGAAAAATTGGACTTTTTTTGGTAGAAATTGAAACGCCACTAATATCAAACTTTTAAATATTGTTAGCTTTGATCCTTGAAAACTTATTTAAATATTTTAAAAAACATTTTTTTTGCTTACAGGTCTGTTCTTTCACTTTAAGAAAGAAAAATACTTTGTTGTGATATTATAAATCTCCTTACAGAATAAGAAAATAGTAGTCAAATTTTGACGCCTTTTTCGCATTTTTGCCGCTTCTGTCACTTGCACGCTGACGCCAATTCTGACGCCCTGCCGCTCAAGTGGTTAATACTTTTTTAAAAAAATCTTTGAGAATTTTCAAATCCATTTGTTTGCAATTCAATTTTACGAAATTTAGATTCTTCAAAAATTCTTCAATATTGTATAATAGAAAATGAAAACTTGAAATAATTTCAAAAAAAAAAATTAAACATTTTCAAAAAATGTAATTCTACAGAATTGTTAATTAAAAGAATGCAAATTTCAAATTTTCAAAGATTTTAATTTGAAACCTTTTCAAAATTTAATTATTTCTAAAAAGTAAAAATTAACAATTCAATGCTTTTAATATTCAATTATTATCTAAAATTTTAACTGAAAATGATTTAAAAAATTAATTTTAATTAGAAAATTTTACAAGAATTCAATTATTTAAATAAAAAAATAAATAATTTATTAAGTAATTGAATTCTTGTTAAATTTTTTTTTATTAATGAAAATAATTGAATATTTGTGTAGATTTAAATCAAAATTTTTTTCTAAGAATTGAATTTTGTCGGGAAATTTTATTAAAATAGTAGATATTGAAAATCATTGAATTGACAAAATGTTTGAAAATAATTAAATTTCGGCGAAAAATTTGTTATTTATAAAAATTAATTGAAATCTTGACGATAATTTAAAAAAAAATTGTTGAAAATAATTGAATTTTGCAAAGAATGTATTAAAATTACTGGAAATAATTGAATTTTGAAAAGATTTTTATTAAGATTCCTGAAAATAATTGAATTTTGCAAAGAATTTTATTAAAATTCTGAAAATTAAATTTTTTGTGATGGATATTTTTATTTATGAAAATAATTGAATTTTGCAAAGAATTTTATTAAACTCCCTGAAAATAATTCAATTTTCCAAAGAATTTTATTAAGATTTCTGAAAATAATTGAATTTTGCATTGAATTTGATTAAAATCCCTGAAAATAATTGAATTTTGCAAAGAATTTCATTAAAATTCCGAAAATTGAATTCTTGTGATGAATATTCTTATTTATGAAAGTAATTGAATAGTTGTTAAGAATGTTATTAAAATTCCTGAAAATAATTGAATTTCTGGGAAGAATTTTTATTCTATTTATGAAAATAATTGAATTTCTGTGAAGAATTTTGATATTTATCATCAAAATAATTTAATTCTTTCGAAGAATTGCTTTAAAATTTTTTTCAACAGAATTGAAATTAAAATTGTTTAAAAAATTAATTCTACAAAATTATTGATTCAAATTATTGAAACTTCAGATTTTCCAAAGATTTGAATTTGAATACTTTTCAAATTTCCATTATTTCTAAAAATTGCTACTATTTGTAACTTCGCAAAAATTCAATTTTTTTATAGTGTTTTTAACTAAAATTCTTCTATAAATCCATTATTTTTAATAAAACTAGTTAAATATATATTAAAAAATTTAACTAATTTCAGAAGAATTTGAATTATTAAAATTTTTCAAAAATCTTTTTTTTTCTATAATGAAAATCATTAAAAATTGAAATTTTCTAAAATTTTTAATTGAAACTTTTTATAGTTTAGCTATTTATGATAATTGTAAACGCAATTGTTTTAAAATTTAATTAATTTAAAAAAAAATTGAAGTACAATTATTCATCAATTAATTTCTAAGTAACAATTTTGTGATAGTTCTTCAAGAATTAAGTTATTTGAAAAGAAATTATTGTCAGAAATAGAAAAAAATTGAAGGTTTTGTATTAGAATTCGTGGTTAATTCATAGTTTATGAGGCAAACAAAAAAAGACACAAAGATTCAGAATTTTCTTATGAATTCTAAAAATTTAATTTTTTCCAGTACTTTTAATAAAAAATCTCAGACTAATTCTATTTTCTCTGACTTTTTCCTGAAGTCCTTGACTTCCCTGACTTGAGGCAACCCTGATTATGAATACTAATCACAATAATATTAATCGTATTTTATAATTTTTCTCTTTTGGAAATAAAATTAGATATTCTACCTTTGTTGATTGCCTTCGCCATCGCCTACTTTATTCTCATAATTTTGAGCGTAATCGTTGCGATAGAGCTGCGTTCGAGAAAGCTTCTTCACATCTCCTACAAGCTCTTTATGGTTTCCCTTTGGTTCTATCTGATAGGACTGATTTTCGAGATCTACGAATATTGCATCAGAGCTTCTCTTGGAGTGAATTTCCCGGGAGCGGCTTTAATCGCAAGTCTCTTTGAAGCATGTTCGGAGACTATTTTCACTGTACTGCTTTTGCTTTTGGCACTGGGATTTACAGTGACAAAAAGTATTCTCTCACTGGTTCAAGTTGGACGACTTTTGGGTTTTATTTGGATTTCCACAATTCTACAGCTCTGTCTTCTCATCTATCAGGCGGAAGTCTTCGATCCTGGCCTCGTACTTTACAGTTACGAATCACCGCCTGGTTATGGATTGCTGGCATTGAAACTTTGGACGTGGGGCGTTTTTATTTTCTGCTGCTATAAAACCAGCAGCAAAGCGGCCACTAAACTCCATTTTTATTCCTTCCTCATGTCACTTGGCTCCGTTTGGTTCCTGTTTCATCCGATAATGGTATTTGAAAATTTATATTAGTGTATTATATTTGTAAAATTAATTAAAATTATATTTAAGTTAAATGAAAATTATATTTTACTTAAATTAAATTTTGTTTATACATTTATTAAAAATTTTAGGTTCTAATGGTCACCTTTCTGATAGACAAGTGGATTCGAGAGAGTGTCGCAAAAGGATGTTATCTCTGGATCATTTTTTGCGGTCACGCGCTATTTTTATACACAACGAGACCAGCGGCTGCGAATATTCATTTTCCATTCCATATTCGAACTTTTCAAATCGTCCCTTTCAGTGGAAATGGTCAAGGGCACAGCTACGAACCTAGAATTCACAATACTGCGCCTGCATTTACTCTAACTCAATTGCGACCACCTGTTAGCATTCCAAACGGGATAAATAATACTCGTCTCTAGACGCATTTTTCAAAATCAAAATAACTTTTTAATTATTTACAAAACACAATTTTTTAATGGAATTTCTATTTTCGAAATTTAAAAAAAATTGTGATTAAGAAACAAATTAAATGTAAAATTGTATTTTATTTACATTAAACATTCAATAGTAGCTTTTTAACTTAACAATTGAAATGTAGTTAAACAAATCGACTTTATTTTTGTATTAAACTAAAATCTTTGTTGTACGCTAGATTTCGTTAGTTTCATATTAACTGTAAAATAATTCATGATTCTTTTTTTAATTTCATTTTCTTGACAACATTTTTCAAGCAAACTTGGAACTACACTAAAATGATTTCGATAAATCTTCATTTTCATTTTTAAAATTAACTTCCTAGAAGTTTTTTTTTATTAGTTAAAAAATGATACATACATTCTTTTTAAGAAAAAATATTTCTGCAAAAGAACGAAAATTTCGATAAATAAAATTCGTTTATTAAATATTCATATCGACAACATTTCAAATGTAGAATAATTCTCTTTTTTTTAGAATAGCATAAGAAATGTTATAATAAAATACTCTTTGTAATAAAAATATTTACATTTATCTCCCAAGTGCCTTTGTAGGCGCGAATTCGTTCGCTATTCTTGTACTCTACTACTGTAATTTATAATTTATAATTTATAATTTGTAATTTGTAATTAATAATTAATGACAAATTAAAAAATTCAACTTTTACACGAATTTTTGTGCATTTTGCTAAGTTATTCATATTTTTTTTTTCAATCACACGAACCATCGAGCCAACCATCCCTCCACCTTTGATTAACTAATTTACAATCGAATTCGGGTTTACTTAATTTTCTATTTACTTGATTATGAATCCTACATAGCCATTGACTTAACTGATTTTGGGAATCTGTTTGTGGAGGATTTACTTTCAATTGTTCCTGTAAATCTTCAGCACACGGTGCACAGGGATAAAATTTCGAAAAAATGTAGAAAAAGTTTTTCATATCCTTTTGTTGTTCGTTTGATGGCGAATCCGGATAGTAAGCTGCCATTGTGTGTAAAAATGCCCAAGTACTTGATCCCAATTCGTCCTTGTCGAGAGGACAATTTTTTCGAGGTGCAACTACTATTTTCTCGTCACTCTTCACTTTCTTGAAATTAAATAATAATAATTAATAAATTAAATAAATAATAATAATTTTTGAAAAAGTTCTTTGAGAATTTTCAAATCTATCTGTTCACAATTCAATTTTATGAAATTTCGATTATTTGAAAAATCTTCAGTTAAATGTATTATTAGAAAATAAAAACTTGAAACTTAATTTTTACAAAGAATTTTATTAACAACTTTTGAAAATATTTAATTTTTTTTAATAAATTAAATTAAAATCTTACTGAAGTTTATTATATAGATGAAAGAATAAATTTTATAAAAATTTTTGAAAATAAATGAAAACTTTTTGAAGAATTTTATTAAAATTTTTAAAAATAATTGAATTCCTGAGAAGAATTTAAATAATAATTTATGTAAATAATTGGATTCAGGCGAAGAATTTTATTAAATTTTGTTTATAAATAATTGAAATTTGGACAATAATTTAATTCTTGAGAAGAATTTTTTTACAATTGCATTTCTGTGACAAATTTTGTTATTTTTGAAAATAATTGAATTCCTATAAAGCATTTTATTATTTATGAAAATAAATGAATTCTTGCGAACGATTTTATTTGAATTTTTTTAAATAATTAAATTTCCAAGAAGAAATTTATTACTATTAAAAATAATTGAATTCTTCTGATGAATATTGCTATTTATGAAAATATTTGAATTTTTCAAAGAATTTTATTAAAATGCCTCAAAATAATTGAATTTTCGGGAATAATTTTGCTATTTATCGGCATAATTGAATTCTTAAGAAGAAGTTTAATAAAATCTAAAAAAAATAATTGAATTAATTCAAAAAAATGTAATTAAAATTGTATTTAAAAAAATGATTTCTTTCGAACAATTTTATTAAAATATTTAAAAATAATTGAATTCCTGTGAAAAATTAAAATAATAATTTATGTAAATAATTGGATTCATTCGAAGAATTTTATTAATTTTAATTTAAATAATTGAAATTTTGCCAAGAATTTTATTAAAATTTTTGACAACAATTTAATTCTTGAAAAGAATTTCGCTATCTATTTATAAAGATAATTTAATTCTTGACGAGAATTTTCAAAAAAATTTTGAAATTAGTTTAATTTCTGCAAAATATTTTATTATTTTTCTTAAGAATTAAATTCTTGTGATGAATATTTATATATTTATCAAAATAATTGAATTTTGGAAAAAAATTTTATTAAAATTCCTTAAAATAATTGATTTTATGGGAAAATTTTGTTGTTTATCAAGATAATTGAATTCTTTTGTAGAATTACTTAAATTATTTTTTAAAATAATTGATTTTCTGCGACGAATTAAAAATTATTTATGACAATAATTGAATTATTGCAACTAATTTTATTATCTTATTGAATAATTAAATGTTTCTTAAAATTAAATTTTTTCGTCAAGTTTTAATAAAATTTTTAAGATTAATTGCATTTTTCAAGGAATTTATTTAAAATTGTATTTAAAATATTACGAAAGGGAGTTATAATTTCGTCATTTTATTTGTTACTTTCATAGTAGTAAATTTACACGAAAATTGTAAATTTGACAAATTAAAATTATTAATTTTACAAAAGGGAATTAAAATTCGCTACTTTTGAAGACGTTATTTTACAATTCCTAAGATTCTATAAAATTCCATAAGAAAACTGTAAATCTAGAGAAAATTGTTTTTTACAAAGAAAAACAAATGTTTTGGCATAAGAATTTCGACAATAAAATTATGAGTACAGTTAAAAGTTCTAAATTTTAAATACTTAAAAAATAATTCAAGTTCAGTGATAATAAATTTATATTTTTATAAAACAGAAATAGAAATTATTAATTTACTAAAAGTATTATTTTGCAGGTGAAATATCAACTTACTTTTTCAGAGTCATATGTCTTTTTTTGTAACTTTGCCCAAGTTTGGAAATCCGTACAAGTGCGGCAAGGTTTTTCTTGTACCATTTTCAAGCAATAAATTATAAATAAATCAATAAATGAAATAAATTGACATTTATGCCGATTACCGACGACTTTTCTTTTTCTAACCTCAAAATATTAGTAATAAACATTGATGAGGCAGGGTTGGGTTGCTATCCACTGCTTTAATATTAATGTTCGTCCACAGCACTTGCAATAAAATAAAGTTCACTCACTCGATTGGATGGAGTTACAATTTTCGTCAGTTCCGGTTCCGGTTAAAAGTAAACAAGTTCGTTCGAAGTTGACTTATTAAATAGCCAGTCAATTTATACAAAAAAACGTATTTTAATTGTCTTGAAAATATCGTGAACATTCTTAAAACTACATTTAATAGTGAGAAAAGTTTTTACGTATAGAAGGATAAGTGAAAAGTTTCCAATTTCATTACTTGTGCTCTTTAAAAATTTCGCCTATTGCTGTGTTCGGTCTCTTAGTTTTTGTCGTTTATTTCGTAAAAAACAAATTCATCTAAAGCAATTAGGTATATTGGAAACTAATTTCCACTAATTCCACATTAGTGATACATAAAAAGAAGATATACATGAATGTGTGTAAAAATCAGTGTTATTATTCAACGCAGCTTCAGCAGAAGATTTCCTATACAGAGCATAAATGAACTCAAGTAATGATTTTTAATAATAAATACTTTAAAATTACAAAACTAGGTACTATTACAAATATTATTTATGATCGATACTGAAAAATGGCAATTTATTTTTATTTACTGGAGAACTATTTCAGTGGAGAATTTTTAAATCCTTTTTATTGAAAAATCTTTTCATAACAAAAAAGCGCATTTGTTTTCGTGTATTTTTTGGTTTGTATCGACAATTAGTGAGTGTTACATTTTTTAGTATAAAAAAGGTGTTAAAAGGTCTTTTAGGTATAAAAAAAGAAAAATAAATAAAGTGGTAAGTTATTTTGTTCTAAAATTAAAAAGAGTATTTTTTTTTAAATTTAAAAATATATTTATTTCATTAACTAGATTTATTTATTTCTATTTATTTGTTTATTAGAGCTAATAATCTTATTCAATGGATTTTTAAACTAAAATGAATAAATCCCATCGATTCAATCAATTTTTGATAAAAAAAAAAGGTAAATAGACAATTAGATTTAAATTCAACTATCTTATGAAAAAAAATTACAACTTTTCTAATTTTTATATTTTTCGAAAATTATAGATTCTGTTGAGAAAAAGGGAAAACTTCCATACAGATGTGTTTGTCTTCATTTGGCTAATTACCATCACTTATCACTCAAGTGACATCATCAATATTTCTAACCTCTTAATTTAATAAGTGAATAATAATTATTTTGCGAAAATGAAAAGTAGAAGAGACTCGGATATTTCGCTTTCAAATTCCAATCACAATGAACTGCTCTTCAAGATTCTTGTTATCGGCGATTATGGCGTTGGTAATTTTTATCTTTATTTTAATTTTCTCTACATTATTCCTCTAATTGTAAGTAAATTTTAATGGAAAATATTTTCTGTGAATATTATTATAGAGATAATCAACTATTAAAGTTGTACTTTTTTAACTAAGAAATTTTTAAATTTATAATTATGTAAATTTAAAATATATTTGTCCTTGTTTTTTAGGAAAAACTGCAATTGTCAGAAGATACACAGAAGGTAAATTTTAAATTATTTCTGATCGAATGCGAAAGAAGATTCAAAACAATAACTCTTATTTCGTTTGTGGAAATATGTATAATAGAAATCTTTCAATTTGTTTTGTATCGTAATCTAAGATACGAGAAATAAGCAAACAAATTCATTAATTTTAATAATTTCAATAACGTTTGTTTTTAATAAATAAACTTTTAGGAAAATTTTCTTCGAATTACAAAATCTTATTAATTTTAATAAATTTTGATAATTTTAATTTAATAATTTTAATAACGTTCGTTTTTAATAAATAAACTTTTCGGCAAATTTTCTTCGAATTTAAAAATCCCATCAATTTTGAATTAATTTGAACTAATTTTAATAATTTTAATAACGTTTGTTTTTAATAAATAAACTTTCAGGTAAATTTTCCTCGAATTATAAAATAACAATAGGAGCTGATTTCGCAATAAAAACACTCGAATGGGATCGACACACAAAAATAAATTTGCAGCTATGGTAATTATTTTTTAATAAATTAAATATTTTTTGATGTACGGAAAAATAATTGTTTAAACTTTTAGGGATATTGCTGGAAACGAGAGACACGGATACATGACTCGTGTTTATTACAAATATGCGTAAATATCTTTCTATTTCTATTCTATTTTGTTTATGAATTTTTAATTTTCAATTTTTAATTATTTCAATAATTAAATTTAATAATTTAATAAAATTAATTTTAATGATTTTAATATTAAATATTCTATTTCTAGGGTGGCTGCAGCTTTAGTTTTCGATGTGTCGAGAGCCGCGACATTTCAATCAGTGAGAAAGTGGCTCAGTGATCTCAGAGAAAAAATAACATTGCCAGACGGATCGAATATTCCAATAGTATTACTAGCAAATAAGTGTGACATCAAAGAAGTCGCCATTTCCAATGATCAAATTGTCAAATTTTGCAAGGAAAATGAAATTGGCTGCTGGTTCGTGACTTCCGCTAAAGAGAATTTAAACGTTGGTAGGAAAATTTTAATTTTTCAGGGTGTCTACTAACCGGGAAATCCGGAAAATAGCCGGGAATTTAATTTGACCTGGAAAAAACGGAAATAAGCTAGGAATTTTATGCCAAACTGGGAATTTTTTCAACAAATTAAAAAAAGTTTTATTACTTTAATTTGTTTTTAAAAATTCGTTTTTATTTCAATTTATATAGATATTTATACTGTTCTCTAAATTTGAATTAGTTAAAAATAATTAATTCGATAGTAAAAAATCAGTCACTGATTCAATTATAGTATGTAAATAAATTTTTAAAAAAATTATCGAATTAATAGAAATTTTGTGAAATTCAATTGAAAATAATTAAATTTGTTAAAGAATTTCATTAAAAACTTTTTAACAAATCGAATTTTCAAAGTATTTTAATTTAATCATTGATAAATAATTGAATTTTGGGCAGCTCCATACGAAAAGCAAATGGTGGATCACCGATTTTTCTTAAAGTTTGTAATTTTGTAGTACTTGGGGTACTAAATAACTGTACCAAACAGTTTTGCAAAAAAAAATTTTTTTTGCAAGATATTTAGATTTGAAAAATCGGAAACTGAAAAAAATGACTTTTTTTGAGAATTTTTATTTCGAAAACTATTGATTCTACAAGAAAAAGTCATTTATTCAAAATTGTAGAGAAAATGCCAATTTTTTATAATATTAAAAAAAAGTTAAGAAAAATTAATTTTTCAATAATTTGTTTAAACAATAATTTTTTATTGTTAAAAAAAAGAGCAAAGGACATCATGGAATATTCTAGAAAAATTATTTTCTCAAAATTTGAACCTTCCTTAATAAGTGGTTAAATTTTTAAAGAAGTGATTTTTGGTGTTTTTGAGAAAAAAATTTTTGAAGTTTGCACTACGAGTTTTTGTGCGTTGCGCTAACTAAGCAGCGCCTATATCAGTGTATTTTAAAAGATAATATGACCTTTACTGCTCGCCCCTAATACATTTATTAATTATATACGTATATATTTTATTATTATAAACAGTTTAACAATATATTTTTAACTTTTTTATAAACATTATTTTCCTTTTTTTAACCCATTAATGCCCATGGGCACAGGAACGCAGGTATAAAAAGTAACTATTGAGATCCTGGCATAGGGTCTAATAATAATTTTTAACGTTAAAAATTAAAAAAAAAATTTTTTTTAAACAATTTGTTATAAACAAATGAAGAAAAATTGATTTTTATAAAAAACTGATAGCGCCATTCGATTCGACGCAAAAACTACTACGAGAACGTATATTACATAATTTTTAAAAAAAGAGATATTGTTGTAAAAATGTTATTAACGAGGTTCCAGGGATCACGAAATAAGACCAAAGATTCACGGTTTTAAGTAAAGTCACAGATTTATTAATAATGAGCGAAAAAGATTAATTAGATACAAAAATGTACTATTGTCTCAAGCGTCTCTATGAGAACTGAACGAATAAAAAGAAAGACGCCGTAACAGGCGATTAAACAAAAATATAGCGGAAGCAGATGGCACCACCAGATATAAAATAAAACAAGTAATAAAAAGGGAGGCTCAATTTGAATATTTCTAACAAATGTTATAAACAATTAGCCTGCATTTATACTGTACGAGATAGAAGGATTGTTTTTGAAGTTAATAATTTTTTTAAACAAAATTAGTTTAATTAGGAGAGTTTTTGACGTCAAAAATTTTTTAAACAAAATTTTTACCTGAAAAACGATCCTTCTATCTCATACAGTATAAATGCAAGCTATTTGTTTATAACATTTTTGCAACAATATCTCTTTTTTTAAAAATTATGTAATATACGTTCTCGTAGTAGTTTTTGCGTCGAATCGAATGGCGCTATCAGTTTTTTATAAAAATCAATTTTTCTTCATTTGTTTATAACAAATTGTTTAAAAAAAATTTTTTTTTTAATTTTTAACGTTAAAAATTATTATTAGACCCTATGTCAGGATCTCAATAGTTACTTTTTATACCTGCGTTCCTGTGCCCATGGGCATTAATGGGTTAAAAAAAGGAAAATAATGTTTATAAAAAAGTTAAAAATATATTGTTAAACTGTTTATAATAATAAAATATATACGTATATAATTAATAAATGTATTAGGGGCGAGCAGTAAAGGTCATATTATCTTTTAAAATACACTGATATAGGCGCTGCTTAGTTAGCGCAACGCACAAAAACTCGTAGTGCAAACTTCAAAAATTTTTTTCTCAAAAACACCAAAAATCACTTCTTTAAAAATTTAACCACTTATTAAGGAAGGTTCAAGTTTTGAGAAAATAATTTTTCTAGAATATTCCATGATGTCCTTTGCTCTTTTTTTTAACAATAAAAAATTATTGTTTAAACAAATTATTGAAAAATTAATTTTTCTTAACTTTTTTTTTAATATTATAAAAAATTGGCATTTTCTCTACAATTTTGAATAAATGACTTTTTCTTGTAGAATCAATAGTTTTCGAAATAAAAATTCTCAAAAAAAGTCATTTTTTTCAGTTTCCGATTTTTCAAATCTAAATATCTTGCAAAAAAAATTTTTTTTTGCAAAACTGTTTGGTACAGTTATTTAGTACCCCAAGTACTAAAAAATTACAAACTTTAAGAAAAATCGGTGATCCACCATTTGCTTTTCGTATGGAACTGCCCTTTTATAAAGAGTCACATTCTAATGAATTCATGTTTCTTAGTGCGAAGATTAATAATTAAAATTTTTATTAGTTAATTTAAAAAAAAACACACTTAAAATTTTTAATAAATTTGAATTTTTGCAAATTTTTTTTTGAAATTTCTGAAAAATAAGATTTTTGAAATTTTTTAATTCTGTTGTTTCAAGATAATTGGATTTTTATAAACAAATAATTGAAATAAAATTCTTATGAAGAATTCAATTCTTTTCAAAAAATAAAATTTTTTCACAGAAATTCAATTCTTTTTGAACATTTTAATAAAATTTTTAGCAATAATTCAACTATTTTCATAAATAATAAAATTCTTCTCAAGAATTCAATTATTTTTGAAAATTTTAATAAAATTCATCCCAGGATTTCAAATATTTTTAATACAATTTTATAGGAATTGCTCGAGAAATTTAATTATTCTTAAAAAAATGTTTTTTTAAAATACTTTAGAAGAATTCAATTATTTGCAAAAATATTAGAATTTTTCAAGGAAATTCAATTATTTTAATAAAATTGTTCGATAGAAATCATTTGTTTTAAATACAATTTTAATTAAATTTTTTTCAAATAATTCAATTGTTCTTTTAGATTTTATAAAATTCTTCCTAAGAATTCAATTTTTTTGCATAAAAAATAAAATTCTTCTCAGGAATTCAATTAGGTCGAGAAATAACAAAATTGTTCCCGAAAATTCAATTATTTCCAGAAATTTTAATCAAATTCTTTGCAAAATTCAATTATTTTCATAAATAACAATATTCATCAGAAGAATTCAATTATTTTTAAAACTCATAAATTTCTTTTTGGAAATTCAATTATTTCAAACAATTCTAATAAAATCGTTCGCAAGAATTCAATTATTTAAAATAAAATTATCATAATATTTATTATATTTCAAAAAAATTCATTATTTAATACAATGTTTATAAAATTCTTACGAAGAATTAAATTATTTTCATAAATAATAAAATTCTTCTGAGGAATTCAATGATTTTAGGAAATTTTAATAAAATTATTTTAAACTATTTAATTATTTTCATAAATAGTACAAATAATTAAATTGTTCTCCACAATTCAATTATTTTCGAAAATTTTTATAAAATTCTACGCAAACATTTAATTATTTTCATAAATAATAACATTCTTGGGAAGGATTCAATTAATTTTATAAATAGTAAAATTTTTTACAGAAATTCAATTAGTATCAATACATTTTAATAAAATTGAATTAATCAAATTTTCAATTAAAATTATGAACAGAAAAGATTATTTTAAAAAATTGAAAAAATTCTTTGTTTAATTCAATTATTTTCCAAATTTTTAAATAAAATATTATTAAAAAAAACATTATTTTCAAAAAATTTAAAGAAACTCGTTAAAAGAATTTAATTATTCATAAAAACTCTAATAAAATTTTTGAAAGCCATTTGTAGATTTATTTGTGTTCGAAATCAAATAAATTTAAATTTGAAGAGAAAAAAAATCCGGAAAAAATTAGGACAAAGCCGGGAAATAACCGAGAATTTTGTTGAACGAAAATAGTAGACACCCTGATTATTTTAATTCTTTGTTTTAAATTTAGAAAATTTTTTTATTAATTTTTGCTCCTCATGGAGGAAGTATTTCTAATTTAAATTAAATAAAAATCTTTTTTTTTTATCAAATATTAGTTGAAGCAATGCAGTACCTTGTGGAAAACACTTTAAAAGCCAAAGTTCAAGATGAAATTCGTGATTCGATAAAACTGAAGAATTCACCTTTAATACAAAAAAAAGTTTCTTGCTGTAAATTTTGAAAGCGAAATTTTTGAAAACATGAAACATTCTTGGGGAATGTTTAGTTTTAATGTATAACTATTTTCATGTCGAGAAAATAATAGGTAAGAATTTTTTTTGTCATTTATAATATATTTCCTTTTTGTAATCTAGAAATCTTGTAATTCTAGGAATTCCAGTTTAGTTGTATACAAAAGTTTTTAAATAATATATAATTTTATATTTTACAAATACGTCGTTTTCTTTATATCTAAAATCTCTATATTACTATATTATTTAAAATTCTAACGTTTCACGTATTTTATTTTTCTATTATTATGTTTATGCGTCTCTTACAAGATTACAATGCATAAGCAATGAATTCGTAATTGAAAGTCTTTGGATCTCATATAGATTATTTATCAAACATTACAATCTTTTAAGGAAATTGATCGTTTATCTGAATATGCTTGCTCTCGACTAATAAATAACGATTGTACTTGTACGGATGAATTGTCTAATGTTATATAGACGATTCAAAAAATATCCTTTTCGTGTCAATGGGAATTTCATAAAACATTTTCTTTAGGAAAATATTATGAAAAATTTCTTTATGAAACAGTAGAAATTAAAGTTTTTACTCCTAAATTTCGATCGTTTTGGTCCCATTTTTGAATTCTCAGAATTCATCTTCTTGAGAATTTTTCACAGCGTTCATGGCGATTGATACCGTCGATACCATCGTTACGTCTTTTGAGTAATCTGCAACCAAAAAAAGAATGTTGTAAATTTTTGATAATTATTTTTTGGCGCGACAAGTTTACAAATTTTTTATAGATGAAAGCGATTTATTTCTAATAAGGATTGACTGCAATTGGGAGAGACTTATAAATTAGAGTCCGATATGGCTGTAACGTTTAATTAAGCGTATAAATAATCCGAGAATTTCTGAAAGTGTTAGTCAACATAAAAGAGAAAAAAAAAGAGAGAGAGAGAAAAAGGATTGTTTTTAAGATACAAAATTGCGTTAATGAAGCCGTTGGTAGAATCTAAAGTGTTATTTTAATTAGTTATTGGACGTCAGTTTTTTTTTTAGGTTTTTCACTTAAGAGTCAATTAGTACCTAGTCATTTGCCATGTTCTTTTAAATGCTACCCGCTTGGATCGGCTACTCCTGAAAAAATAGGATTTAAGAGTAACAGCTATTTAATGATCAGCCGCTATAATTTACTAGCAGAATTCAAGCTCAAATTAAAAAGTGAAAAGAAAAATTAAAACAAAACTGCAATGTTATTTTGATAAATGTAATAGTAAAAATGAAAATTAAAAGGAAGGAAAATTTTATATTGAAATTTTTTAGTAAAGAAAAATAATTAATATAAAAACACCACACTTTTACTTGGGTAATTATTAAGAATGAAATCGATTTATTGTAAGGAAGAAAAAGTGTAAGCAATAAAAGTTCTAGTCATAAAGTGAAAAAAAGAAAGAAGATTTAAAGTTGCCAGAAAAATTTAATTATTTAATTTTGTTTTTCTCTCATTTTTCCTTGATTTCCAGACAAAATTTTGACATTTCAATAACTTAAAAGAATATTATTATAAAACAAAAAGAAATAGATCACTTCGAGTCTTCGACTCGGAGTGATCGATTTCTTTATGTTTCATTATAATTATTAAAAATAACCGAGTGATAAAATCATTTTATATTCGAAAAATATTATTATTGTAACTTCTTTGTTCTTTAAAATTATTTTCATCAAATTTTAAGTCAATTATTATTTTCTACATTTTTTTCAACAAAAATTCTCCATTAAATCAATTATTTTTAATAATTTTTGACAAAGTTCTTTGAGAATTTTCAAACCAATTTGATTAGGTACAATTCAATTTTACGAAATTTAAATTATTCGAAAATTCTTCAATTGAATATTAGAAAATAAAAACTTGAAATAATTTTTTTAAAAAATCAATTGAACTGTTTCAAAAAATTTAATTCCACAAAATTGTTAGTTAAAAGTATGAAAAATTCAGAACTTCAAAGATTTTAATTTGAAACCTTTTCAAAATTCAATTATTTCTAAAAATTCACGCTATAATGCTTTTAATATTCAATTATCTAATATTTTAACTAAAATTTATTTCTAAAGCAATTTTTATTATTAAAAAATTCTACGAGAATTCAATTATTTAACTATAAAAATAAATATTTTATTAAACAATTGAATGTTTCTTGAAATTGAATTTTCATCAAGAATTTTATCAACAAATTTTTAAATAAATGAATTCTCTTGACCAATTTTAATACAATTTTTAAGAATTGTCTTAAGAAATTCATTTTTTAAAGAATTAATTTCAAGAAATTCGATTAAAATTGTATTTAAAATAATTTGAATTTCTGCGATTAGTTTTATTATTTATCAAAATATTTAAATTCCTAAAAAGAAGTTAATTATTTATGAAAATAATTAAATGTTTCCGTGAAATTTTATTAAAATTTTTTTTTAAATAATTGAATTCTTTCGAAAAATTATATTAAAATAAAAGATTTAAAAAAAAATTCATTGAATTCAGGAAATTTTTTTAAAATAATTGAAATTTAGCCAAAAATGTTATTAAAATTTTTGAAAATAGTTGAATTCCGGAGAAAAGTTTTATTATTTATAAAAATAATTGACATTTTGACAGAAATATTAAAAATTTTTTTAAATAATTGAATTTTGGAAAAAAATTTCATTATTTGAAAAGGTAATTGAATTTTTTTTTTTTTTAATTTTTTAATTTTTTTTTTTTTTTAAATTTTATTAAAATATTTGAAAATAATTGAATTTTGGAGAAAAAGTTTATTAATTTTAAAAAGTAATTGAAATTTTAATAGATTTTTAAAAATTTTGGAAATAATTGAATTATTGCAAAGAATTTTATTACTTCTGAAAATAATTGAATTTCTGCAATGAGTTTCATTAGTTATGAAAATATTTAAATTCCTAAAAAGAATTTTATTATTTATAAAAAAATAATTGAATTACTATGAGATTTTTATTATTTATGAAAATAATTAAATTCTTTTGGAAATTTTTTTTATTAACATAGCAGATATTAAAAATTGTATTGTTCAAAATTTTGGAAAAGAATTTTGTTATTAATTAAAATATATAATTGAAATTTTGTCAAGAATTTTATTATTTATAAAGATATTTGATATTTTTGATGTGAATTTGTTTTTTAATTTTTGAATATAAATAAATTATTGCGATGCGTTTTATTATTTATAAAAATAATTGAATTCCTAAAAAGAAGTTAATTATTATTTATGAAAATAATTAAATGTTTACGTAGAATTTTATTGAAATTTTTTTTTTTAATTAATTAAATTATTTTGGAAAATTTTATTAAAATAGATATTGAAAATCATTGAATTCAGGAAAAATTTGGAAAATAATTGAAATTTTGCCAAGAATTTTATTAAAATTTATGAAAATAATTGAATTTCGAAGAAGAATTTTATTATTTATAAAGATTATTGAAATTTTGCCAAGAATTTTATTGCTTTTGAAAATAATTGAATTTTGTGATAAGAATTTTATTGCGTTTGAAAATAATTGAATTTCTTCAATCATTTGTAACTTCTCTAAAATTAAATTTTTTTGTGTTTTTAACTAAAATTTTTGTATAAATTCATTATTTTTAATATTTAATGAAATATGTATTAAAAAATTTAACTGATTTTAGAAAAATTTGAATTTTTAAAATTTATGTCAAAAATCTAAGTTCTTTAAAATTTCTAATTAAATTCATTCAAAATTGAAATTTTATAATAAAATTTCAAGTGGAAACCTTTTAAAATTGAATGAATTTAGAAATATTGAAGTAAAATAATTAATTCATTAAATAATTGCTAAGTATGAATTTTATAATAGTTGTTCGAGAATTAAGTTATTCAAAAAGAAATTATTGTCAGAAATAGAAAAAATGGAATTACTGTCTTTTCCGTGATTTCCCTGAACTCCCCGATTTGTGGCAACCCTGTTAATGAAAGTCTAAAGAATTCTTCTTTGTTCTTCGGAATAAGAGAAGATAAAGCTCCATTGTATCAAAGTTTTATCAAAAAAAAAAAAATTCTTTTTCGAATCTTCTGCGTTTTTGAATCGAAATTTAGAGTTTCACTTCTAAAGAGTGAAACTTATTACAAGACTCAATGAAGAGCTATTAGAATGATAAAATCAGTTATACCTTGGCCATAATTATTCTGTCCTGGAGCGCTGCTTCCGAATGCTCTGATTCTCGAACAACTGATCAAATTAACGTAAGCCTGTCGATATTGCTTGTTCATGCACACGTAGATTATCGGATTTACACACGAAGCAAAGTACAATAGCAAATAGCCCATCACGTGGAATCCTAAAATATACAAAAAGTTGACAAAATTTATAAGTTTCTTCAATCTTTTAGACACAATGAAAAAAAATTTATTTCATTCAAATAACCGATTAATTGACTATTATCAATTAAATATTTACTTAAATCAAATAATATTTATTCAACTCAATTAAATGGTATTTGAACCAATAATTTCAGTATTTGAAGCAAATATGAATTGAACCATTTAATTGACTCCAAGAAATATTATTTGATTCAATTAAATATTTAATTGATAATAGTCAATTAATCGGTTATTTGAATCAAATAAATTTTTTTTCAGTGCAGATTGGATAATATTTATATAGTTAGTGAATCAACAGAAAAAATTGCTTGAACCTTACCGGGATATCTGACTTCAGCGTCAGCGACCTTTACGATCGTAATGGGCAAATAACAAGCCACGAAGCTCAAAAAAATGGCCAGTACCATTTTTGTTATTCGCCATTCACTTCGTTTCTGCTTAATATCTCGAGTATCTCGTCCAACATTGTGCGTTGATTTTACATTTGGAGCGGCGTGTTTTCTCATTCTTGCCTCGGAACTGAAAATCATTTTTAAAAACTGTCATGCTATTTTCTATATAAGAAAGAATATTTCGTCATGCTATTTTATAAAAAGTTTAATTCAAGGTTGCCACGCAATCTGGAAACCTGGAAAACCTGGAAATGTCAGGGAATTTTATAAACCTTGAAAAAACATGGAGAAAAGTCAGGGAATTTTTATTGAAATCCTGGAAAATTGCTGTTTTCTAAAGTTATTGTGTTTATTCTTCAAATCTAATTTCACTTAAATATTTCAAAATTAATTCAATTTTCAAAGAATTGCGTTTAACAATTTTCGTACGTAGATGAACTTTAAAAGATTTTCATTTAAAATTTTGTAAAATTTCAATTTTAAATGAATTTTATTAGAAATATAAAAAAATTTAGATTTTAAAAAAATTTTTAAACTAAAATTCTTCTGAAATTAGTTAAATTTTTTAATATTATTTAACTAGTTTTATTAAAAATAATGGATTTAAAGAAGAATTTTAGTTAAAAACACTAAAACAAATTGAATTTTGAAGCAATTACAAATGATTGCAGAAATTCAATTATTTTCAAAATTAGTAAAATTCTTCTCAGAAATTCAATTATTTTCCAAAAATTTTAATAAAATTCTTGTCAAAATTTTAATTATTTTCAAAAACTTTCCTCAATTCAATGATTTTTAATATCTACTACTTTAATAAAAATTCCTAAAAAAAAATTAAATTAGTTGAAAAGATGTTTAATAAAATTCTCCGTAAACATTTATTTATTTTCATAAATAATAAAAATTTCACAGGAATTCAATTATTTTAAAAATTATTTTCATATATTCTTCAATTATTTTCATGAATAATAACATTCTTTACAGAGATTGAATTATTTTCATAAATAATAAAACTCAACGCTGAATGTCAATTATTTTTAATACAATTTTAATTAAATTCCTCGAAAAAAGCTATTTTTCTTAAAAATTTTATTAAAATTTATCAAAGACATTTAATTGTTTTAATAACCTTTGCTACAATTTATTTATTAGAATTTAAGTATTATTTTCAATAAATGTCTAATTAAATTTCTTTAAAGAATAACATTATTTTCAAAAATTTTAACGCAATTCTTTGCCGTACAATTCAATTGTTTTCAAAATAATTTTACATAATAAAATTCTTCGCAGAAATCTAATTATGTTTAAAAACTTACAAAAATTCTCGTCAAAATTTCAATTATCTTTATAAATAATAAAATTTTTCACCGAAATTCAATTGATTTTAAAACTTTTAATAAAATTCTTGACAAAATTTCAATAATTCTTTTCAAACAATTTTCTCCATTCATTGATTATTAATATTTAATATTTTAATAAATTTTTCCAAAAGAATTCAATTACATAAAAGGAATTTAAATAAAATTCTACTGAAACATTTATTTATTTCCATAAATAATTAACTTCTTTTTAGAAATTTAATTATTTTCATAACTAATGAAACTCATTGCAGAAATTCAATTATTTCAGAAGTAATAAAATTCTTTGCAATAAATCAATTTTGTCCAAAATTTTAAAAAATCTTGTCAAAATTTCAATTATTTTTAAAAATAATAAACTTTTTTTCCGAAATTCAATTATTTTCAAATATTTTAATAAAATTTTTGTCGAAATTTCAATTATTTTCAAAAATTTTCCTCAATTCAATGAATTTTATTTTAAAATCTTTTATTTAAAAGAAATTTTAATAAAATTCTACGAAAACATTTAATTATTTCCACAAATAATTAACTTCTCTTTAGGAATTTAATTATTTTCAAAACTAATGAAACTTAGTACAGAAATTCAATTATTTCAGAAGTAATAAAATTCTTTGCAATAATTCAATTATTTCCAAAATTTAAAAAAATTTATTAAAATTTCAATTATTTTTAAAATTAATAAACTTTTTCACCGAAATTCAATTATTTTCAAATATTTTAATAAAATTACTGTCAAAAATTCAATTACCTTTTTAAATAATGAAATTCTTTTCTAAAATTCAATTATTCTCAAAAATTAAAAATATATTTTGGTTAAAGTGTCAATTATCTTTATAAATAATAAAATTTTTCTTCAGAATTCAATTATTTTTAAAAATTTGAATAAAATATTTGTGAAATTTCAATTATTTACAAAAATTTCTCTGAATTCAATGAATTTTTTTTTAAATCTTTTATTTTAATATAATTTTTCGAAAGAATTCAATTATTTAAAAACAATTTTAATAAAATTCCACGGAAACATTTAATTATTTTCAGAAATAATTAACTTCTTTTTAGGAATTTAATTATTTTGATAAATAGTAAAACTAATCGCAGAAATTCAAATTATTTTAAATACAATTTTAATCGAATTTCTTCAAATTAATTCTTTAAAAAATGAATTTCTTAAGACAATTCTTAAAAATTGTATTAAAATTGGTCAAGAGAATTCATTTATTTAAAAATTTGTTGTTAAAATTCTTGATGAAAATTCAATTTCAAGAAACATTCAATTGTTTAATAAAATATTTATTTTTATAGTTAAATAATTGAGTTCTCGTAGAATTTTCTAATAAATATTGATTTAAAAATGAATTTCAAATTAAAATCTTTGAAAATTTGAATTTTTCATACTTTTAATTAAGAATTCTTAAGAATTAATTTTTCGCAATAAGTTTAATGGATTTTTTAAATTATTTAAAGTTTTTAATTTTTAATATTATTTAATTGAAGAATGTCAGAATAATCGAAATTTCGGCAAATTAAATTGTAAAAAAAAGAATTTGATAATTCACAAAGAACTTTTTAAAAAATTATAAAAAAAATTGACTAAAAGAAGAATTTTAGTTGAAAATTGTAGAAATGAATAATCGTAATGATGAAAATAATTTTTGAAGAAGTTACAATAACAAAGTAGCAAATTTTAATTATTATAAAACATGAAGAAAGCAATCGCTCCGAGTCGAAGACTCGGAGTGATCGATATCTTCATGTTTTACAATAATATTCTTAGTTATTGAATTTCAAATTTTTGAAAATCTTAATTTCTATAAAAAAATAATGATTAAATATTTATTTAAAAGTAAAGTTATTGATGTTTTCGAATAATTTTCGTTTTAAAAATCTGAAAAAATTCCGTTTTTTAAACTGGAAAACCTGGAAAAGTCAGGGAATTTGAAAAGAGCAAAAGCGTGGCAACCCTGATTTAAGCAAAAGTAGTTTCCAAAAATAATTAATAATACCTGTGGACAATCCAAAAGATTTTGGCATAGCATTTTACGATTACTATACAGGGAATTACAAATCCTGTGATGAAGAGGAAAGTTTTAGACGTGTATCCCCTTTCATCTCTGATAATTGAGCAAGTTTCGAGATTGGGATCGTATGCAAATTTACCTAAAAAAAGATTAACATTTGAATTGTTGGATAATTATAAATATTACATTTGGGGCACATGTACAAATTTGTAAAAAAATAAATTTCTACAAATGAAGTGAAATTCAATAAAATGAAAATGACACTATATTTATAAAAACTAGTATTCTTACCCCAAACTCCGATTAAAGTTGGAATTTGCATTCCATAAGAAAATAACCAACACGATAATATCATCAAGGCAATCCAGTGTTTTTTGTATACTCTCTGATATATATTATGATGACAAATCATGATATACCTGAAATTTAGTAACAATAAAAAACCATCGATCTTTTTCAATTTTTTTTCGGCGAATAAAATGAAATGCCAAAAATATTTGTAATACCTGTTGACTGTGATGGCTCCTACAATTAAAAGACTGACGCCAACATTTCCATATCGCAAAAATGGCACAAGAACGCAAAGGAATCCTATGTCAACCCATTTGGCGTCGATAAATCGAATCGAATCGAATGGCAGGACAATGAGGCAGAAAATAAAATCTGCCACACATAAACTGAAAAAAAATAATTATTATTAATTATTTAAAAAAATAGAAGTAAATAATGAACATTGTGCGCATGTAAACACTGTTTCAGATTCTAGAGGAAACTTAACTGGGCTAATTAAGATAATAATGTGAGAAAATGTGCGTTTGCATGTGCATGCTAAATAATTTATGTGATAAGCTTAAATAACACTATCGTACCTTATGATAAATGCAGCTGCGACATTACGTACTTTGGGGAATGTGCTGAGAGCTATGATTGTTAGTAAATTTCCTAGTAGACCCACTAACATAATAAAAATTGAGGCTATAGCTGCAAACGTCCTCAGAGGCTTTGAGAACCTGGGAAAAGAAATTTTTTCTTTTTATAACAAATATAATTCAGAAATAGTCTATTAAAAAAAATTCTTAGCAAAGGTTCCTTCGGAGCTTTACATTTTTTTTTTTGTAATTATGAGAATTTAGAGAGGTTTCTTTTATTTTTATTACAGAATAATTTTTTTCTTCTCCTGCTAATAAATTGAATTCCTCCAAACGAATTTTATTATTCATAAAAGAATTTAAATATTTATAAACATAATTTTTATGCAAATTCTAATTTAAGTAATTATGAATTGCTGAGAAGTGAGAAATTTTTATTATTCATGAAAATAATTTAATTTTTAAGAAGATTTTTACATAAAAATTTTTAAATAATTGAATTTTAGTGATGAATATTGTTATTTATGAAAATAATTGAATTTTGCAAAGAAATTTATTAAAAATGCCTCAACATAATTGAATTTTCGAGAATAATTTTGTTATTTGTCAATATAATTGAATTCTTTCGAAGAATTATTTAGGGAAATAATTGAATTCTTGCGAAGAATTTTATTAAAATCTAAAAGAATAATTGAATTATTTCAAAAAAATGTTATTAAAATATTTAAAAATAATTGAATTTCTGTGAAAAATTCTAATATTTTTGTAAATAATTGAATTCTTAAAAAGAATCGAAAGAAAACATTTTTTTAAATAATTGATTCTTGAGCAATTCCTGTAAAATTGTATTACTGATAATTGAAATCCTGCGATGAATTTTATTATTTATGAAAATAATTGAATAGTTGCTAAGAATTTTATTAAAATTTTCAACAATAATTGAATTAATGAGAAGAATTTTATTATTTAAGAAAATAATTGAATTATTGCGAAAAATTTTATTGGAATGTTTAAAAACAATTGAATTTCTTTGAAACATTTTGTTATTTTTGAAAATAATTGAATTCTTCATAAGAATTTTGTAAATATTTTTTTAAATAATGAATTTTTTTGAAATATAATAAATATTATGATAATTTTATTTTAAATAATTGAATTCTTGTGCAAAACTTTATTTTTGAAAATAATTGAATTTTTCGATTAATTTATTTAAAATGGTATTAAAAATAATTGAAATTCTTCGATGAGTTTTACTATTTATGAAAATAATTGAATTGTTGATTAGAATTTTATCAATTTTTTTTTATATAATTGAATTTTTTGGAGAAATTTTAAGAAAATACTCTAGATATTGAAAATAATTGAATTTCGAATATTTTTTGATAATAATTGAATTTCCAAGAAGAAATTTATTACTTTAAAAAATAATTGAATTCTTCTGATGAATATTGTTATTTATGAAAATAATTGAATTTTTCAAAGAATTTTATTGAAATTACTGGAAATAATTGAATTTTTCAAAGAATTTTATAAAGATTCCTGAAAATAATTGAATTTTGCATTGAATTTTATTAAAATTCCTGAAAATAATGAATTTCTGCAAAGATTTTATTAAAATTAAGCGAAAATTGAATTTTGGTGATGAATATTCTTATTTATGAAAGTAATTGAATTTTTGCAAAGAATTTTATTAAAATTCCTGAAAATAATTGAATTTCTGGGAAGAATTTTGATGTTTATCAAAATAATTGAATCCTGTCGAAGAATTATTTATGGAAATAATTGAATTCTTAAGAAGAAGTTTATTAAAATCTAAAAGAATAATTGAATTCATTAAAAAAAATTGAATTAAAATTGTACTTAAAAAAAATGATTTCTATCGAACAATTTTATTAAAATATTTGAAAATTATTGAATTCCTATGAAAAATTCTAATATTTTTGTAAATAATTGAATTCTTACAAAGAATCGAAAAAACCTCTTTTTTAAATAATTGATTTTTTCGAGAAATTGAAATTAAATTTTTAAGAATAATTAAATTTCTCGAGCAATTCTTGTAAAATTTATTATTTATAGAAATAATTGAATAGTTGCTAAGAATTTTATTAAAATTTTAAAAAATAATTGAAATCCTGAGAAGAATTTTATTATTTATGAAAATAATTGAATTTTTGCCGAAAATTTTATTAAAATTTGTAAAAAGAATTGAATTTCTGTGAAAAATTTTGTTTTTTCCGTAAATAATTGAATTCTTCATAAGAATTTTATAAACATTATTTTAAATAATTACTTTTTTCGAAATATAATAAATATTATATGAAAATTTGATTTTAAATAATTGAATTCTTGTGGAAAACTTTATTTGTGAAAATAATTGAATTTTTCGATTTATTAATTTTAAATGGTATTAAAAATAATTGAAATTCTTCGATGAATTTTATTATTTGTGAAAATAATTGAATTCTTGATTAGAATTTTATCAAAAAATTATTTAAAAAATTGAATTTCTATGAAAAATGTTATTATTAGTGAAAATATTTGAATTATTGTGAAGAATTTGTATAAAAATTTTGTTAAATAAATTTTTTCAAAATTTTTTTTTAAAAATGCTATTCTAAATTAATTGAATTTCTTTGGAAATATTAATTCATGAAAATAGTTGGATTTTGAATGAATTTTATCAAAAATTTTTTTTAAATAATTGATTTCTTTTGCGAGATTTTAAAAAATAACAAAAATAGTAGGTTACGCACCTTGATATTTCACCGACATTTAAACTTTCGGCGATTTGTGGTAGCCAAGTGGCAGCTGCATCCATTGATTCATCCATTTTTATCTTGAAAATAAAGAAAAACTATTTTTTATTAAATGTAATTAACTATAATAATTAATAATTAATCATTAAACTTTAATTTTTATTTCACTTATAAATGAAAGTATCAAATTATTGAGGAAATTAGGTATTTAATCTGATATTTTTGAATCAGAAGATCTCCGAAGAAAAATTTACCTAAGAAGTAAATCATTTAAAGGTTTTTTAAAGATTTAAAGATAACTTGCTATAACTAACTAACTTGATAACTAATTTTTTCACTATATAAGTAAAAATTTAGTGATAATTCTTTTCCATTTTTACCCAAATTAAATAAAAATTGATAATTCATCTTCAATTTGAGTCTATCAAATATACTTATTAAAAAATTGAAATTCCCTCGATTATTTAATTTACCTCTAAAAATATGTATAAAGAGGATAATATAAAGGAAAAACGTGCGTTGGTGAAGAAAGGATTGAATGCGATGAATTGAAAAGAATACTTGAGCGCATGCATTTTCAGAAGAAGCAGGAGATATATGCGGGATGTGTATATATGTACATAATATAATATAAAAGTAAGAGGATCTTTAGGAATTTAGTTTCTGAGAAGGATGACATTTCCGCTCATCCGTCTGGACTGACAATAAAAAGTGTCGCTTTCATGCCCTCATGCCAAGTATCGAAGGCAGTACGCACTGAATTATATGGGGGTGTTGGATTTACTAAATTAGGGTTAAACAGACAAGCGTTAACCTCCATTGAGTTTAATTAAGAAAAATTAACAGACACCCGGTTCCCCTTATCATGCTAAAAAACGGCGTAAAACCTCTTATATCATGGGAACGCGTTTTTAATGTACAAAATAAGTCGTTTTCGTTCCATAAACATTCTCCAGAATCAGTCACTTTCTCTCTTATTCGAATCTATAAACAAAGCCATAATTTTCTTCCTCGAAGAATTTTTTCCTTAATAAAGCATTTTTCTTTTTTGCTACGTCATAATTTTGACTCTACTTTTGTATTATCATAACCATTGAATTAATTAAGATAGTAGACCATCAACAAAATTATCAATCTAATTAGTATAGTAATGTAGTAAACTATCAATCTAATTTTAATTAATTAAAAAGGTAAATTTTAATCAAAACAAGTTTTTTACCGCCAGATAACCATCACAGTTTTTCTAATGATATCGAAATTGAGACAAAAAACGAATCAAAATTGTTGCCTTGCAACAATTTTAATTCGTTTTTTGCCTCAATTTTGATAACTATGGCTTAAACCTTATTGTTTTATTCTATTTATTTTTGCAACTTCAGAGACTTGGAAATATTTAAACTAAAATTTTGCTTATATTTTCGAATAAAAATTAATTGTTTTGTATGGAAAATGATTGAAAAAAAAATGATTTTTCCCATAATTATTGAAAGGAAACTCGTCGTGTTATTGCATAATTATCATAAAGAATAGCTACTGCTGATGGTCCCAAGGATTTTTCAGTTAGCAATTAATTAATTTTCTCGGTCAACGAGCAGTAACCGGTAACACGTCCGTAAATTACGAAAAGAATTCATCATCACTGCGAGCACGTCATCGAATGATTTCCGACATAATCAATGAATGAGTCAACTTTTGCCTCGCAGAGAAAGTATTAATATTGTTACTATATTGCTACCGACTTAAGTGCCTCTTAACAATAAGATTTTGATATACTTATTTTCACGAGACATTTTATTTATTACCTATTGTACAGCATCTTCTGTATATGCAACATTACAAAGACTTGAATCGTGATCGAAATTAATCGTAACTATATAGTCTGACTTCTGGCTCACTATTTTAAATAAAATTAGCAATTTTAAAAATAATGGAACGTACAAATTTTTAATTTTAATTTTTTTTTTATAAAAGTAAAATATGAATTGGAATATATAGTTTTAATGTTATTATAATTTTAATAATCATATATTCTGACATAGGGAATTTAGGGAAAAGACAGGAATTTTTATTAAAAGTACTGAATAAAATTAAATTTTTAGAATTCATAAGAAAATTCGGAATTTTTGTGTCTTTTTTTGTTTGCCTCATAAACTATGAAATATAACCATATGAATTCTAATACAAAACCTTCAATTTTTTCAATTATTGACAAAAGTTTCTTTTTAAATAACTTAAATCTTGAACAACTATCATAAAATAAATAAATTAATTAATGAATAATTTCAATGTTGAATGAATTTAATTAGAGAAATTTTAATGAACTTAGATTTTTGAAAAATTTTAATAATTTAAAATGTTCTAAAATTAGTTAAATTTGTCAATATATATTTAATTAATTATTAAAAATAATGAATTTATAGAAGAATTTTAGTTAAAAACATTTAAAAAAATTGAATTTTGAAGAAGTGAGAAATGATTGCAGAAATTCAATTATTTTCAAAAGTAATAAAATAAATTCTTATCACAAAATTCAATTATGTTCAAAATTTACAATTAAGAATCTCGACAAAATCCCAATTATTATCTTTATAAATAAAAAAATTCTTCTTCAAAATTCAATTATTTCAAAAAATTTAATAACATTCTTATCAAAATTTCAATTATTTTCAAAAATTTTCCTCATTTTAATAATTTTCAATATCTACTTTTTTTATAAATTTCCCAAAAAAATTCAATTATTTAAAAGCAATTTTAATAAAATTGTTTAATAAAATTGTTACAACTATTTTTTACAAAGATTCAATTATTTTCGTAAATAATACAATTCTTTTTACAGGGAATCAATTATTTTTAACAATAATAAAATTCTTTTTAGAAATTCAATTATTTTCAAAAAAATTCCTCAATTCAATGATTTTTAATATTTAATATTTTAATAAAATTTTCCAAAAGAATTCAATTATTTAAAAGGAACTTTAATAAAATTCTACGGAAACATTTAATTATTTCTATAAATAATTAAATTCATTTTAGGAATTTAATTATTTTCGTAACTAATGAAAATTATTGCAGAAATTCAAATATTTTCAGACGTAATAAAATTCTTTGCAATAAAATTCAATTTTGTCGAAAATTTTAAAAATATCACGTCAAAATTTCAATTATTTTTAAAAGTAATAAACTTTTTCTCCGAAATTCAATTATTTTCAAATGTTTTAAACTTTTAATAATATTTTTGCCGTAATTTCAATTCTTTTCAAAAATTTTCCTCATTTCAATGATTTTCAATATATTATTTACTATTTGAATAAAATTACCCAAAAGAATTCAATTATTTAAATAAAATTTTAATAAAATATTATGAAAAGATTTAATTATTTTCATAAATAATAAAAATTCTTTGCAGAAATTCAATTATTTTCAAAAATTTTAGAAAAATTATTGTAAAAATTTCAATTATCTTTTTAAATAATTAAGTTTTTCTCTAAAATTCAATTATTTTCAAAAAATTTTCTCAATTTAATGATTTTTAATAACTAATATTTTAATAAAATTTTTCCAAAAGAAATCAATTATTTAAAAAGAATTTTAATAAAATTCTACGGAAATATTTAATTATTTTCCATAAATAATTAACTTCTTTTTAAGATTTTAGTTATTTTCATAAATAATGAAACTCATTGCAGAAATTCAATTATTCTCAGAAGTAATAAAATTCTTTGCAACAATTCAATTTTGTCCAAAATTTTAAAAAAATCTGGTCAAAATTTCAATTATTTTTAAAAGTATTAAAATTTTTCCCCAAAATTCAATTACTTCAAAAAATTTTAACTATATTTTTAGCAAAATTTTAATTATTTTCAAAAATTTTCCTCATTTCATTGATTTTCAATATCTACTATTTTAATAAAATTACCCGAAAGAATTCAATTATTTAAACAAAATTTTAATAGAATTCTATGCAATCGCAAACATTTAATTATTTTCATAAATAATAAAAATTTCACAGGAATTCAAATATTTACAAATTTTTTATAAGTTTCTTCTGAATAATTCAGTTATTTTCAAAAATAATAAGACTCATCGCATAATTTCAATTATTTTTAATACAATTTTAATGGAATTCCTTGAAAAAAGTTATTATTCTTAAAAATTTTATTAAAATTTGTCAAGAGAATTCAATTATTTAAAAATTTTTTTAATAAAATTCTTATCACAAAATTCAATTATGTTCAAAATTTACAAAAAAATCTCGACAAAATCACAATTATTATCTTTATAAATAAAAAAATCTTCTTCAAAATTCAATTATTTTCAAAAATTTTAATAAAATTCTTGTCAAAATTGTTCTAATTTGAATAATTTTCAATTCTACTATTTTAATAAAATCACCCAAAATAATTCAATTATTTAAAAACAATTTTAATAAAATTGTAAGCAAACATTTAATTATTTTCACAAATAACAAAAATTTCACAGGTATTCTAATATATTTACAAATTTTTTATAAGTTTTTTCTGAATAATTAAATTATTCCCATAAATACTAAAACTCAATGCTGACTTTCAATTATTTTCAATACAATTTTAATCAAATTCCTCGAAAAATGTAACTATTCTAAAAAATTTTATTAAAATTCGTCAAAAAATTCAATTATTTAAAAATTTATTGAAAAAATTCTTTACGAAAATTCAATTTTAAGAAACATTCAATTATTCAATAAATAATTTACTTTTGTATTTAAATAATTGAGTTTTCGTAGAATTTTCTAATAAAAATTGATTTGAAAATGAATTTTAGTTTAAATTTTAGATAATAGTAGAATATGAAAATAATTTTGAAGAAGTTACAGTAACAATATTCTTATTTATAAAATAATTATTTTAACACTCGATCCACTTTAATAATTATAAAACAAAAAGATAGCGATCACTCCGAGTCTTCGACTCGGAGTAATTGTTATCTTTATGTTTTATAACAATAATTTTAAAGTTGATTAATTTCAAAAAGGTTTGAATTTGAAATTTTTAAAAATTTTAATTCCTATGAAAAAATAATAATAATTAAATATTAAAAATAC